ACAATGGTTTCCTGCCACCTCCTCATTCCACCATCAAGGAGTGTTCATCTGCTTTTTCTCTAAATGACCAACTAGTCATCTAAGCTGGAGGCCAAAAATGAAACCCTCTGGCCTGTCCAAGCTCTGTATCTTCAGCATCTCTCGCAACAGAGGTTCAATCTAAGCAACATCCTCTCTTGAAGTTCTCATTTGTACCACCCACTATGTCAGAGTGGAGTTAAGAGTTTGATTTTCATCACTGGTTCTTAAAGAGTGGATCTCTGGGCCATGTCTCCCAATGCTGCTTAGCCCAGGAAATGGAAAGACAGCCAACAAACACAAAAGTAATATTAACAAAAGAACAAACCCCAAATCTTAAATGCATTACTGGGACTGCTGGAATGGGCCAAGGCATACCATGGAGCTTCACTGTCAACTGGAGGGTGCCTGTGTTCTGGGAAGAGTTGCCTTTGACACTGTCTGGCCGGAGGACCCAACAGTGACAGCTGAGGACCTTGGACCAAGTATCCTAGCCTTCTCACTGCTCTGAGCTACGTGTGACCTTGTCGTAACAGCGGCCTGTATCCCGTACAGCCACCTGCCAGCAAAGGTGGGCTGCTGAGAAAGAGGCTTCAGTGGAACGAACTGGCCTAGAATTTGGCGTCATACTTGGCTCTGACATCTGTTACCCAACTGAAAACACACCACTTCATGCCAAGCATTTTTCCATTGAGTAGTTCCACAATAACCATTTTTTTTTTCTCTATTATTGAAATGTTGTTCCAAGTCATAAGAAACAGGCTGGAAGGAAAGGCCAGTGTTGGCCATGAACACGGTCTTCTATCTTCCAAGGAGGAAGCTCATTCCAACTGTGTCAAATGTCAGGACATCCTCTAAGGGAGTCCTGGGGTGGTCTGGGTCTCACCCAGCTGCAGTTCAACAACGTCTCCAGAGTACACCAGCTCCTGCTGCCTCAGGGAAGGGCTGTGTATGATCAGAATACACCAGCTCCTGCTGCCTCAGGGAAGGGCTGTGTATGATCAGGTTTTAATGCTCACATCAATTCAATGATGTGCCTCAGTGGTTCACGTCACGTCAAGCAGTGCAAGCTGCTGTCAGAAGGAGGCTGCATGGAGAATGCCACAACTCAGCTTAAGTTATTTGGAGCATACAAAGGAGGAAGCCAAGAAGAGGTGGGAAATGAGCGTAAAATTAGGCTAGAACTGTGGACAGATGATGCCTTGGTATAGTCAAGGTGGGTGGTTTGGTCCAGTAAAATGACTGCACCATCACACAAGCAAAAAAATTCTCTTTTATTTAAGTGTTTCTGAAGCATTTGTTATGATGGGCGCTATACTGTTAAGTGTTTTCTCTCTACTTAAAGGAAAACCACCTACATAAAACAAAAAGTGACACCAACAACTCGGACAGTTTAAACGAAACCCTTATAACCAGCTGAATGATCTGTAGAAATCCAGTTGTGGAAACCGGTAGGTATGTGCAAAACGGAGGAGAGGCCACTATTCCACGGGGTCACCTACAGTGTGGAAGCGGGAAACCCTGATCAGACACTACTTCTCAATGACCTTAAAGATTCCAGGGGACTTGGGGAAGGAGAGGGGTGTTCCCGCAGGAGAGAGGAGCTCCTGAGCACAACTGCAGACCTGGGAGCAGAAAGGAGGCGCCACACTTGGGGCGATCCCCCACCCCCACCCCCCACTGCATTTCCCAGATGAAATGCCAGTGCCTGTGAGAGCAGCTGCTGGAGGGGGCGCCATCCGCCGGTGAGCAGCGGGAGCGGAGCGGGGGGGGAGGAGGCACTGCCCCTTCCAGCCCAAAGGTTTGGTACGTCTTGTTTGCCCCTGGGAAGGAGGTGAGGGCCAGGTGGAGAGAACAGTCTGGACAGGGAGGCGGGGACTCTTCTCCGAATGTCCTACCTGGGGCTGGCCACCACCAGGTCGGGAAGCCGCAGTAGGAGGCGCTCGCCGGCTCTTGGAGCCCACGTGGCCACAGGGGGTGTGAGTCGACCCGGCTGGGGGCCCAGCAGCCACCCCACGGCCACAGGGGAGGTGGGGGCCCTGGCTCGGCCTGGTCCCCAGACTGGAAACCACCGCCCCTCCCCCCAGTCTGCACCGAGTAGCTGGTTTCCGAGACAACCTGCCGGGACCCTCCCCGTCTCTTGGGAAACTGAGTCAGGGGGAGACCAGGAGCGGCGCCGAAGGAGCCGCCGCAGAGGAAGGCAAGTGGGGAGGTGAGCTCCTGGGGCTGTGACCCCGGGGTACAGGCTGGCCTGCCCCGCGTCCCTGGTGTGTACGGCCTGTGGTGTGCATGAGGTTACCAGTATCAACGGCATATTGTCAGGTGCTGAGAAATGTGAGATGTACTCCTTTTATATATACACATATAAAAAATAAGAGTGAGGTAGATAAATGTTTGGGAAAAAAGCAAAACAAAAAACCCTAAACTGTCCTGTCTTACACACACACACGCACGCACACACACACACCCTTTTCTCAGTATTTAAATTCATAAGGGGGCTTCTCTACAGTGATTGAAACTGGTATCACAAAATAAATTAAAACTCCTACATATAATACCTTAATTTTTTCTTTTTGTCATTTTTTTTTAAAGGGAAAAACTATGGGACAGACTAGAGGAAATAGTGGGACTGAAACTACTGACAAGCAAAAAAGCACTACCAACTTCCTTTTTTGTGTTTAATCTCCAGTCGCAACTAGCAATCATCATACTGTATAGCTTTGTTCTTACTCATAATTTAAACATTTCCATCCCAGAAGCAACTCTTGTGCTGTCATCACTCTGGTGAGAAGTGCTAAAAGCTAAACAAAATGAGATCCGGGCTCCGAGCACTCGGCTTGCTGGCCGGGTAACGATTCCCCTGGGCCAGGCCCCTGGCCCCCCGGGGCAGGGGGCACGGTCTTCTGCCCCTCGGCGCCCGCTGTCCCTGCTGCCCCGACCTGCCGGGGGTGGGGAGGGGCCTGCCAGAGGCTCTGTGAGGACACCGCCCCTGCGCCCCACTCCCCGCGGGCGCCGGGGAGCCCTGGGGCGTCTCCGGTTCTAAAGACAGGTAGGTCCGGTTGGGGCGGCGGCGGGAGGCCGTAGACGGGCCCGCTGGAGCGCGCGCCGCTGCACCCCTGGACTCAGCAGCTGTGTTCCGTGGGATGGAAGGATTAAATAGCCATTAAAAAAAAATAGTAATCCAAATGCCTAGTGTCTGCAGTTAAAACTGCTGTTGTACCCAAGAATTAAAAAAATAGATATATGTGTCACAACTGAAACAAAGGCAAGGGAAAGAGAAGCTGAGACTTGTCAACAATGGTGAGTATCAACACTGAACAAGGATGTGCGATATATTTAACCTTTTTTTTCTGACCTGAGTTTGTATCATGTCTTGCACTGTAACAGACTCAGACGCTGTGTGAGGGCAGGCTGGGGAGAGAGGGTCGGGGCAGGCACCCGCCTTCTCTCTGCGCCCCCCTCACCAGCCTCGTGCCCACAGAGCCTACGGGTTAGAACAGAACTAATGGGGCAAGGGGAGCAGGGAGGGCTATGTATTTATAAAAAGGCATCAAACAGTTCATGGCAAATTATGTTATATAAGTATCAATTACTGGGAAGAGAGGAAGAAAGTCACGCACTCTAGTACAAAGCATAAGAAGTTTCTTGGAGTGAGCAGAGAGGGAAGAGGGTAGACCTGAAGGTTTTCATAGATTAAATCCACAAAGATAAAGAACAAAAAAAATAGCAGCTTTTTTTTTTCTGTACAGACGTATAGATGAATATCTGAACCGTAAAAAAGTTATAAAAGTGACATTAAAGACGATGTGTATGCAAATGTTTCATGGTCTAACATAGAACTGTAAGACCCACGAAGAAGTCCTAGAAACAGAGAAAATGTCAACAAAGCTTAGAATGCTTGAATCCATTTACTGCTTTTCTTCGCACTGTTGTGGTGTTGGAATTGCTTTCCTTGCAAACCTGCATGAACAGCTAGGCTGAGTCCCTGGCAACCCCTTCCCAACTGTGTCCTTGGGGGCTGGGCGGGGGCAGGAGACGGGCACGTGGACGACCTTTACTCAGAGCATGTCGTCCAGGCTCCCGACAGGGCCTGTTTCCTCCAGGATTCCTGGGGGGCTAGAAGGTGGGGGTGCAGAAAGGGGGGTGGGGAAGCCAGGCCGGCTCCTCCCCATCCTCACTGAGAGCGACTCTCATTCTGTCCAGTGCCCCCAAATAATAACCTCATCAGAAGCCAACGGACCTGTGTGAACGCGAGACTCGAACACCAGGGACGACCAAGGTGCAGGGCGTCAGCAGCGCGGCCCTTACTGAGTGACTAGCTCCCGGCTCGCCCAGGCCTCCGGAAAGGAGAGAACGGTGGGGGGGGGGGGGGGGGCGCTGAAGGGGAAGAATTGGGGTTTTGGCAGAATTTGGCAGCGTTAACAATGGTCACAACCTTGGGTGAACGATGGCCCTTTGTAAATTTCGTATGTCCCTAAAAATGTTAAAGACAGTTAAAAAAATCCCGTCTCAACGTGTTTTTTATAAAGACCTACGGTGACCGGCAGGTGTGTTCAGGGCAATGTGGGGCCGCAGACGGGCAGCCCTTGCCTCAATCCGATGCAGAGGGCGTCCCGCCTGGGCTTGCGGCAAACGTGTTTCCATCATGAAGCAGAGAGAGAGAGAAAGGTGTGGAGAAAGAGAGAAAGAGAGAGACAGGGAGAGAGAGGAGAGTTGGTTCTCAAGTGTTGCTATTAAGTGTTGTCACTGAGGTTCTTAAAGGCCCGTGTCAGTTAAGGGTTTGTGTAGGGAAATAAAAAGCGGCTTGCATATTGAGAAAAGGAACATCCCAAATGTGTTTACTGCAGAGAAGCCGTCTCCTGTGGGCAGCCATGGCAGTTCTGAAGATCCACTGAGGTACAGGAAGCTGTGAATAGATTGTGAACACTCTCCCCACCCCGCCGGCGCGCGCGCGTTACTGTGTGCACGGCCAGGATCCGGGATCAGCAGGTCGAGGACTGGGGCAGGGGCAGGGCGCGCTCGTTCTTGCGGCCCCCGTTCATGTGCGCGTAGGGCTGCCTCTCGTCGAAGCTGGCCCGCAGGACCAGCACGCCCGGGCCCGGGCCGTTCTCGGCCTTGTGTCCTGAGTGTCTGTCGGGCAGCGGCAGCGAGGCCGAGGACGCCGACGGGTCCAGCGGCACGCTCTCCATGTTCTCGGGCTCCAGGTCCAGCTCCTCGGGCTCCGGGGGCTTGTTCTCCTCGCTGTAGTAGAAGGAGACCTCGCGGAAGCCCGCCTCCATCTCGTCCTTGACGCTGCTGATGATCTCCAGGAACGAAGGCCGCATCTTGGGGTTGTACTGCCAGCACATGCGCATCAGCTCAAACCTGCGGGGAGACGGCAGAGGTGGGCCCCGCCCGGGGGGCACCGGGCCAGGAGCCCCGCCACACCGGGCGCAGCGAGCACACGCGGGCCGTGTCAGGCCCCCAGCTTGTCTCTCTCCGACACGGGAGAGTCTCCACTCTGTCTCTCTGGCACGGGAGAGTCTCTACTCTGTCTCTCTCTCTGACACGGGAGAGTCTCTACTGTCTCTCTCTCTGACACGGGACAGTCTCTACTCTGTCTCTCTCTGAAACAGGAGAGTATCTACTCTGTCTCTCTCCGACAGAGGTGAGTCTCTACTCTGTCTCTCTCTGACAGAGGTGAGTCTCTACTCTGTCTCTCTCTGACACAGGTAGCCTTCAGCTTCTCCTGACTTAGGTCCACCCCTGCAGTCACTTCACCCACACGCAGGACTCAACCCTAACTCTCGCATCCCGAGAGGGACAAATACAGGTCCCACACAGAATCTGTTATTACAAGCCAAAGCGTCAGTCACTCAGTCGTGTCCTACTCTTTGCGACCCCATGGACTGTAGCCCGCCAGGCTCCTCCGTCCATGGGATTCTCCAGGCAAGAACACTGGAGTCGGTCTGCCATTTCCTCCTCTGGGGGATCTTCCCCAGGGATGGAACCCAGGGCCTTCCACATTGCAGGCGGATTCTTTGTAGGTGTTTGAACCACCCATAAAAGCCTCTTACTACACATATTTACATAAAATGCAAACCAGCCTTCTATCTGAAGTATCTCCTGCAGCCACTAGGTAAACATTATTTCCAGAATGAGAACACTGAGGAGGCTGACCAGCGACCAGTTTTCCCCACGGCGCTCGCCTTCAGTTCTACACACGCTGCTTCCAAGCTTCCTCCTGGGCGCAGGGGGCCACTGGCAGAGAACCGAGGTCAGGCAGTGCCAGGCAGTGTGGCTGCAAGACAGAAGGGGCGCACAGCCCCCTTCCAGTGCCAGGGCTCAGGCTGCACACTGCATGGCCCAAGGTGGCAGAGCCAGCCTGGGAGACAGGCTGCCCTGAACCCGGCGAGAGCCTGGGCCAGGGTCCCTGCTCAGGCCCAGGGCAGGCAAAGAGGGCACTGGGAAACCTCCGCCTCACATGGCCACAGGGACCGGCCCGGCATCAGGCCAGAGCCCCCATAACAGGCAGCTGCAAGGGGAAAAAGCCAACACAGGTTCTGACAACAGTTCAGCACTGCTGCAGGAGGAGGGGCACCCCTCATTCACTGGGCATGCAGAGGGCTCCAGCTACGCAGACCTCCGGGCATGGGGGAGGTGGCCGAACCAAGGTCCAGGCTGCCAGGAGTGTGGAGGCGGCTCTGAGGAGACAGCGGCCTTTTCTCATGGAGACCAGAGTGCCTTCCCTTCCACTTCTGTTTTCTCGCCAGAAACTGTTTTATGTTTTGTTTAAAAACTTCTGGCTAATGAGATACTTTTCAATAAAAATGGCCCAATGGAACGCCCCACATCTAGGAAGCTCAAAGTGCCCCAAACTGGCTTCCAGCCTCAGGCTGATACTTGACAAACCTGAGTCTGGTCCCAGAGACCATTTCAAAGAGAGAAAGCTCAAGGGGACAGGAAGGTCAACCCATCAGGTCGACCCGCCAGGCACCCTGAAAGACCTGGGGAGAAGGGTGTCATGTCAAGTCGGAGAGGAGAGGATGTGACCTTGAGTGAGGGCGCGAACAGAAGAGAGGCCGGCTGCCTGCTTTTGTAAATCAAGTTTTACTGCAGCGGAAACACCCGTTTGTTGACACATGGTTTGCGGCTGCTTTCAAACCAGTAGTTGTACAAGCTGAATAGTTGAGATGGTTTGGCCTGTGAGCCCTACCGTGTGGCCCTTGGCAGAAAAAGCTTGCCACCTCTGCTCTAGCGGAGAAAGAGTTAGACAAAACATGAAGACTATCTTTTCCCCTCCCAACTAAACCACCTACACGAGGTCAGGACGCTAACCCCACGGTAGTCGACCAGTGCTCTCAGGAGTTTTGTGGGTGTATACGGTATTACTCTGCATGGGTCTGGGAAGGTGTGTATCATAATAAAGCCCCGTTTTATAGACCCCCAAATGAGGGAGGGTGTGGCAGGAATGGAAGTCTCACAAATGACCTGCCTGCACTTTGACCACCACCACCAACCTCAAAAAGAGAAACCTGCTCTCAGCCTCAACAAGAGAGACCACAGTCTTGCCCCGTCTCCCTCTCTTGGCCATCCACGGACAGTCACAGGTGTTGTGGGGGCTTTGCAGATAAACTGGTGACTTGTTCTTGGGTCAGATGGCAAACGAACCCCCTTCCATATCCTCACCTCCATCATTTCCTATGAAAAAGGACCAACGCCCCCCCAATAAAAAATAAAAATAAAGAGCCATAAATACACGACATGACATGCCTCTCCATGGCTCAGCTGCAATTTCCTCTCTAGCTGACGGGCTTATCCCCGAATAGAAGTGCAGCCAGAGCCAAGGACACTTGATGTGTCCCGGCTCCGGGCGCCTCGGCCTGGGGCTGGGGAGTGCCCTCCGCAGGGGAGGAGGCCTGTGAGCGACATTGGCAGACACAAGCCACGTGACAGCGTCTGAACCTCTCCAGAGGCACGGCCCCCCAGTGCTGCCCATAAAAGGCAGTGTTTTTTCCCTCAGCGACATTCAAGACCTTGTTTACACTATCTCCACAAGAAAACTTTCCAGTAGACTCTAGAACGATTTATGAGCTGATAAAACTCCTCTTTAAAAAAAGCAGATTTTTTTTTAACAACTGGTCAGCTCTGGGGAGCAGGAGCCGTCTTGCAATGAATGCCCGCATGGGAGGCGCACGTGTGCGTGGCCGTCACCTGGGCAGGGGCAGGGGCAGATGGAGCCGCCACCTCTGTGTGCCCGCGGAGGCCGCTGGCTGTCTCCACCCCACCCTCAGCCCGGCTGTGTGGGCAGGCTGCGGTCACCCGCCAAGAGCGGCCTCATTGTCCCCGTGAGGACAAAGAGATGGCGTTGCAGAGAGGACCTGCAGGGCTCACGGCACCCCTCCTCGCCTCCCGGCAGCCCTGAACACTCAGGCTCCTGCCCCACTCCTCGGCCGGCAGGGGCAGCAGGCCGGGGCCAGCTTGAACGCTCAGCCCACGTGCCTCTGTCTCAGGCCAGCGATCGCAGGCAGGGCCTAGCCCCTGGGGAAGCGGCCGCAGGCTCTCCAGGCAGGAGTGCCATCCCAGCCTGTCTGCATCCCACTCAAGTGCTCGGTTCCCAGAGGACTGGCCCGGGATCTCCAACAGTCAGCAACAGGGAAAAACCATGCTTGAAAACTGCAAGACAATCAGAGTCGGTTGCTTCAGACTCATCCGTGAGTTGATGACTCTGGACTGAGAAGCTCCAAGTCCTCTTGAATAGCGCACCCTGAAGGCCTCCCTGGCCGAGGTCCAGCTGCACAATCTGGGGGGCCGTTGGCAGAGAGCATGGTCCCCGCTCGGCGCCTGGCTCTGCTCCGCCCGCGCCCCAGCCTCTGTCAGTGGACCGGCTAGGAGCGGGACCACGGCCCGCAGCCCCAGCTCCGGGCCAGAGCAGCCAGCACGTGCTCGGAGGGGCTCCAGGACACTGGCAGCGTGAGTGTGGAGGCCTGAGTGCGAGACACGGTCAAGGAACCGCAGGCCAATCGGTCTTCACCCCGTGCTAAGCGATACACACTGCATCTCAGGGCTGAACCCCGTGGGCCCAGCTGCACTACGGCCCGGTCCACGACACCATTCCTCTGAAGCCGGGCGCCCGTGCTCTGAAGGGCATCAGGACTGCTGGCTGCTCAGAACAGCCAGCAACTCCTTGGCACCGCTGAGCGAAGATGCTGGGCTGAGGTCCCCCAGCAGCCCCTGCACACCCACCCCGTTACCCTGTGGGTGCCATCCACACCTCCACAACCACGAAACCGAAGTACATAAGCTCTCTTCCACGTGGGGCCCAGCACGGCTTTCAGGCAGCTCCCAGGGGCTCAGTGACTTTCCTCTCTCATGGGAAAACAAGAGTCATTCTTTCAATTTTGTAATAAAAGAACCCCATCTCCCAGAACATGTCTTCCTCACCTAAACTCATCAATAAATTCAAAAGGACAACAGATACTCTCTATGAAACCAACTTGCCTCCTCTTGCTTTCTTAGAAGGGAAAAAGTTTGCCAAGAGGGTTCTAGCTGGCAGGGCAGAAAGGCCTCCTGAATTATACATTTAATATCCCAGAGTGACGGCGCCACGTACGTTTCCTTGTCACTCCAGGCTGGGAACAGGGAGTGCACTGCCTTTCCCAGGGCAGGGGTGCTGCTTCCCAGGCATATTAAATTATGATAACGCTCCCGTCACCTGGAGGCAGATCAGCTTCAGGCGGCCCACAAGTTTCTCAGAAACAATGATGACTCAAGTCAAAGAGAGAGAAAGCTCAGGAACAGTGCCTCACCTCCCACCACCCCCAAACCACACAAACAAAGCTCACACCTGCGTTCCTGGACTGCCGCTACGCTTGCTAACACACCACCACTGCCAGGGTTAGGTTCTCTTCTGGCACCAGACACGCTCATACAAATTCAGTGGGCATCATTCCTCAAAGTCCATTACTTATGCTTTGGTTCTGAAGGAAGATCATTCTTCTCATGGGCTGCCAACAGTACCGTGGCTACACTGCTCAAGGTGGAGGGCAGTCACCAGTCGGGCATGGTGGCTGAACTCCAAGACCCTCACGTCCCGGTGTCCATGCCTCACAGAATCTGCTGTCACATCAGACAGAGCCCACAGGAAGTGCTGGACACCGAGGAGCATGACTGCCAGGCCATGAAGAACACGGTGCATGGTTTCTGCTCTGCCATGGAAGTGACTGCCCTCAGGCACGGTGGGCGAGCTCCGGGCCCATGGGCCACATCTGGCCTGCTCTCTGAATCTGCGAGGCCTGGGAGCTAAAGATGGCTTTTATATCTGTATCAATAAATGGTTGGGAAAAAAAATCAAAGAAGAATAATATTTTGCGACAAAACGAAAGCTATGTGAAATTCAAATAAAGGATCGAGACATCAAGCTTTCCTGGACCATCAGCACGCCTGCTCCTGTGATGTCTCTGGCTGCTCCTGTAAATAGCCAGGTGACCAGCTGCAGTTGAGATCATAGGGGCCACAGAGCTGAAAATATTTACTATCTGCCACTTACTATATGTCCTTCTGGAGAAAAGGCCTGCCGAGCCCTGCCCTAGGAGAAGCCAGCCACACAGCAGGAGGACCCTGAAGCAGCATCACAGAGGAACTGAGGCCTCGCGTGGCACCCAGCGGGTCTGAACATGGATCCCAGCCCCACTCAAGCCTTCAGATGAGCGTGACCCTGGCTGCCAGCCGGACTGTGACCTCAGGAGAGCTAAGCTGCTCCTGGCTCCCTAACCTCCAGAAACACTGAGAGATAATGAATGCTTACTGTCGTCTTAAACTGTTAGGTTTCAGATAACGTTATGCTGCAACTAAAAAAAGAATTAAAAAAATACAGAGGAGAAGAGGGAGAGTTTCCACGAGGGGGCAAGAAAACACACTGAGCAGCTGTCTGAGTTCTCTGCCAGCTTTGGGTCCCGAAGTCTGAAGACGCTGTACCAGGCAGTCTGCTGGTGAGGGACCCAGGACGCCTGGTGCCCCCTGACGCACGGCCTCCTGAGAAGGGGAGCTTCCTGTCACGGTGGGTGTATTCTGTGCCCCACGTCCAGGACATGTGCTGGTTCCCTAGGCCGGGCCCACGCTCAGATGATCAATGGGCACCGCACCTCTACACACGTACACAAACACTGAGGCAAAGATGCTGCCTTTCCTGTGGCATTCTCTGGCCTCTTTCCTAACTCCATGGAAGCTGTCCTAGAGACATAACAGGCTTTGGCTGAGCAAATGCTCAGAGGCAGCAGCTAAGGAGTAGGATGCCCAGCTAATGTTCTCTCGAAGCAGCAGCCCAGTCAGAGCCAGGAAAACAGGTCCTACTCCCTCCCACCCCTATTCCACCACCCCTCCCACACTCTACCTGGAGCTTAGGGATCCAGTCTTGGAAGCTACACTAAACACGCTTTAGAGGAAAAACCAAAACCGTGATTTATTGCCAAGACAAGAGTTTCTGCTTCCTAGGCTGCAGCCGTCAGACTCTAAGATGGTCCCCAAGATCCTCACCCCTGGTGCAAACACTCCATATGATCCCCTCACCTGCGTGGGAGGGACTTGTGAACATGATGGGATCTCTCTCCTTCATTTAGGCTTCTAATAACTGACTCTATGTTAATCAAAAAGGAGATTACCCAGCATGGATGTGACTTAATTAGGTAAAAAAAAGAAAAATGCCAATAGCAGCAGAGGAAGTCCTCTTGCTGGTCTTGAAGAAGCAAGCTGCTTCACTGAGAAGCTCGTGGCGGGGAGTGGTGGCAAGGACCGGGAGCTGGGAGCCAGCAGACCCGGGGACCTCAGTCCTACAGCCACAAGGAGCCGACTCCTGACAGCAGCCCAAAGGGGCCTGGGAGCCCCAGATGGTCATAGCCGAGCTGACATCTTGATCTCAACCTTGTCACATGGAGCAGAGGACCCAGCGTCCCCATTTCCCAATCCATGGAAACCTTGAGAGACCAAGTGAACCGAGCCTTCCCGGCTGCTGGGCTGATCTCCCTGGTCACCACATGGCATGGCCCTGACTCACATCTGCACCATCCGGCCACGGCGTGGCCCTCCCCCGAGCCAGGGCTCACTCGAGGCTGGTGCCAGGGGGCTGGAGGCGGGGAGGCAGCAGATCTGGAGGGGGCAGGGGGGGGCTTCCACATGGACAGAGAGACAGCCCAACTCCTCTAGGGTCTTTTCCAAGGTGAGGCCAAACCTGTCCTGAAAAGCGCTTCTGGAAAATTCTTGGATTGGTCTTGAGGTATTAGTGGTAGCCTACCTCCCACATATTGGGATCCAGAAACTCATGAGCCCTGCCTTAAGGTGCATGTCGAAAGCAAGCCCAGTGCTCCTCACCCGTGCCTGTCTGCACCTGACGACCCAACTGCAGCACACCTGCACACCCTCACACCTTCAGCAGCGCTGACCACCACAGACAGAGGGGCTAAGAACACCCTTGCCCTAAGAACACTGAGCAGGGAGGCCCATGAGGCTGGTGGACCGTTTCCCATTCCTGACGAATCTCAGGACAGAAAGCCGTGTGCCAGGAGGCCCCCTAAACTGCCTTCCGGTCCGCACGGCTGCTGGAGGAAGTTGCCAGAAGCCCACCCCTAACACTTCTTACAACTTTTGTAAACACCTAACGGAAGAAACCTGAGGGGGACAGGTGGTGGCAGCGTCCTGGAGCAGCCTGCAGCAGGTCTGAGGTCACCCCCGGAAGCCTGGAGGAGCCCTGCCAATGGCTGGGGAGCAGCCCAGGACTGTGGTTTCAGAGTAATCAAGTGTCAGGTTGCTGCTTTTTTTTTTTTTTAAAACAACCCTGTCTGGAGAAGATTGGCAGGGATTGCTTTGGTCAAGTATTTCACAAAGATGTTTGGCCTGAGAAACTGCAATGCAAAAATCTTCCTAGGATTAAGGAAGATGGGGTGGGATTAAGGCACCAGCCCAAATGCCCAGGTTCTTCCGTTAAGATAAACCCTCATCTCAACTGCTCTGGCCAGTCCAGCACCGCCAGGCCGCAGGGACCCGGCACATACGTACAGCATGTCAGGACAGTTGTCCGGCTTGTCCAGAAGGCCACCCTCCATGACGAAGCGAAGGACCTGCTCGTTGGACAGGCCCTGGTACGGCTGCTCGGCCAGCGTGGCGATCTCCCAGAGGACAACCCCAAAGGACCTGCCAGGAGAGAAGAAACGTGAGGTGCTCAGAAAGGGAGGATGGGGCCGGGAGCCCCCTCCCTTCCGGCAACTGAGTGCACGTCAGGCACGAGCCAGGCGTGGGCTAAGTGTGGAACAGCTGCCTCGTGTGTGGTAGCCCCAGGGGCAGGACTCTGCCAGCTGAGAGGACAGCGTGTTCAGGGCCCGCGAGCGCCTGACCTCTGATGGGAGCCCCGGGTGAACGGAGTTCAGGGCTCTGCAGGGCCACGTCTCCCAAACGTCCTTTATCCCACCGATAATCAAATGCTGGTCCCCAGGCCTGGCTAGGACAGTGACTCAGTGGCCTCCAATGCCGTCTGGGACGAGCAAGCTGTTCAACAAACTTCCCGTTCTGGAAACTTCAACCTACGTGGCTCTCAATGCTGCCTGCAGGTCAGGCTCCCCTGGTGAGTTCTTAACACACACCCATGCCCCGGGCCCCCGACTGACCTCACTGATCTGGGCTAGGAGCCTTGGCTTTGGGGTGTTGAAAAGCTCAGTGGGGATCTTACAGGTCCAGGGAGGCCTGGGGAGGCGGGGTTCAGCCTCACAGGTGGGGACAGCGGTGGGCAGAACTGGCTGGGGCAGGGCTCCCATACCAGGAAGGATCCTTCGGCCCATAGTTGAGCCAAGGGGGGAGTGGGTAGCCGAGGAACCAAGTCAGCAAGGGGAGCAGGTTCAAGTGCAATCTGCCTTGAATGTGCTTCTGCTGGTCGATTTAGAAGGTCCTACTACTTGGAGAAGGAAATGGCAACCCACTGCAGTATTTTTGCCTGGGAAACCCCATGAACAGAGGAGTCTGGCAAGGTAGAGTTCATAGGGTCACAAAGAATCGGACACAACTGAGTACTCCTGGAAAACGAACTAATACAGATATACACATACCCAGGGACTTCAGACCGAGGACGTTCAAAAGGGCAGTGCTGTAAACTGCAGAACAGAAGTGCCTTCCCAGCACACATCACTATCCTTCACAAATTCTCCATGGTCTATTTGCCTTTCCATTCAGCTCATTTCTACAGATTAAAGCTGGCCACTCAGCAGTGAAGAGCAAGCCTGAGGGGCTTCCGACTGGACCTTTGCAGGCCAGGGGTGTGGGCAAAGTCGCACCAAAAATTCTGGGGCATCCCTTCCCGCCCAGAGCTCAAACTGGTGCTGAGAGCAGATGTCAGACATTCAGAATTTTAGTCCTCAGAGGATCGATCCACCCAAAGTCCTTCTGAACCTCAGTGACCAAGAAATAGTCTTGACATTGCACGAGGTGTCTAGCAAAGCCCAAGGCCCGAGCACGGTGCTCACAGGCCCGGCTGAGGGTGTGGGCCCCCCGTCAGTGTGGGCTGAGGGGTCTCGCAGACGGAACCAGCCTGGTCACCGCCTCAGAGGCCGCGGCGCCCAACTGACCGCAAGCCTGGACTGAAGTATCACCTGCAGATGCAGCTCCCCAAGGCCCACGGCTCCTCCTGCCCCGAGTGCTCCTCGGCGGCTGCCAGGCAGCCAGCACCCGCTGGGTGGCGCCGCCCTGAGCCCCCAGTGCCTGCCGCCCCCTCCGAGCTCCGGGTCTCACCTGTCTCATCACCCTGTTCTTCCCATCTGACAGCGCCCTGAGCTCGTCCTTCCTGCGCCTCTCAGAGCACCACCACAGCTTGTCTACGCAGGCTCAGACTCGCCCCAAGGTCTGGTTCCCTCCTTCCAGATCCCCAGCACGTCCTCAGTGCCGATGGCCCCCTCGCCTGGCCTGCAGGACACCTCCTTTTTGGCACCGACATCGTACGTGATGGAGCTTTATTTACACTCTAGGTATCACGAACTTCTTTAAACATGGCTCTAGGTCCCTCTCCTGCTCAGCACCCTTGAAAGTCCTTATCGAGCCTGAAGAACTCGCCCTGACCCCCTCACACAGCAGCCAGGGCCTCACTCGCTCTCTTTTCTGCTGACTCCCCTGAGGAAGTCCCACCGTCCCCAACATGCACTCAGCGGCTTCCTACCACTGCGGCTCCCCCCAGCGTCCTCACTGCTCCACAGGGGACAGTCCATAGTGCAGGGGGCCCACAACTCCAGCTCTTCTGGGAAGGGGGTCCAGACCTCAGCCTGTCAGGGTCACTTCCTGTTCTCCACAAGACTTCGTTCACCAGGAACTGGGACTGGGTCTCCAGCGTCCTGCTCTTGCACGCACTGGGCACCGTGCCTGGGCCATGTCAGGGCACACCCATGGAGGAACAGAGCAGGTAACACAGTCGGCTCTCCCCACAGGCTTTCCCCGGAGCGACTCTGGTTTGATGTCAGTGAGGGCCACGCGGTGCTGGAGTCTGGGTGTCCTGCACAGGACGTGACTAGCTGAGTTCGGTCATATTTCTGTCCCAAGTTATGGAGGCTAACATATCTCTCTCCACCACCAATGTGCCTTCCTGTCGTCACCAGCTGTCACAGGGGCCATTTAAAGATCTGTCAAGGTTCCTCAGTTCAGTCGCTCAGTCGTGTCTGACTCTTTGCGACCCCATGAATCACAGAACTCCAGGCCTCCCTGTCCACCACCAACTCCCAGTGGTGATATCCACTCATGTGGAGCCACTCATGTCCATCGAGTCGGTGATGCCATCCAGCCATCTCATCCTCTGTCGTCCCCTTCTCCTCCTGCCCCCAATCCCTCCCAGCATCAGGGTCTGTTCCAGTGAGTCAACTCTTCACATGAGGTGGCCTAAGTATTGGAGTTTCAGCTTCAGCATCAGTCCTTCCAATGAACACCCAGGACTGATCTCCTATAGAATGGACTGGTTGGATCTCCTTGCAGTCCAAGGGACTCGCAAGAGTCTTCTCCAACACCACAGTTCAAAAGCATCAATTTTTCAGTGCTCAGCTTTCTTCACAGTCCAACTCTCACATCCATACATGATCACTGGAAAAACCATAGCCTTGACTAGATGGACCTTTGTTGGCAAAGTAATGTCTCTGCTTTTTAATATGCTGTCTAGGTTGCTCATAACTGTCCTTCCAAGGAGTAAGCATCTTTTAATTTCATGGCTGCAATCACCACCTGCAGTGATTTTGGAGCCCAAAAATACAAAGTCTGACACTGTTTCCACTGTTTCCCCATCTACCTGCCATGAAGTGACGGGCCCGGATGCCATGATCTTAGTTTTCTGAATGTTGAGGTTCCTCAGACATCCCCAAATAGATCTTACTTCACAGATGAGCAGCTGAAGTCCACAGATGTGCCATGATTTGACCAAGGCCACACAGCCAGAGACACTAAGGAATATGTGATACCTGCAGGTTCTCAGGAGCAGGTCATTTACAGTGTGACTTGACATCAATGCCTCACATGAAACCCAGTCTCGAATTTTGTGCATTTAATCCTTAAACATTAGGCAAATGTACTTGTGTGAAGTCTTTCCTAATTATGAGCATCAGGGTGTTTTCCCCAAGGAAGGGACAACCCAGTGTGAGTCTCACATCAATTCCAGTGCAGGTTAAGGTCAGCACGCCTCACACCAGGACAGGAACGGTCAAGGTCCCACTCACCAGCAAATGGAAGCCTACACACTCCCTGCTGATGTGACTTTGCCACTGAAGAACCAACAACTCTAGGAGGGAGCAGAAGACTCTGGATGCTTGTCGCCATCTGGAAAGCTTCTCAGGAAGTCAGGAGATGGAGACTGTTGTAGGTGATTCAGTTGCTCAGGAAGGAGACGCGCCTTCAAGCTGGGGGTTCCACGCCCAAGTCCTGGGCTTGGTCTCTCCCCGCCTAGAGGCCCACCTGTGTCTTCTCACTCAAAGGAGCCACTCCTGTGGGACACGCCGCTAGCTACAAGGGAGCTACAGGAGAACAAGCGCAGCGCCCAAGGCCTGGGGATGATGCCTCCGAGGATAGCAGGGAAACACAGAGACATTTCAAGCAGAGAAAAGAGACCACTTCCTTGTGCCTCCAAGTCCTGTCTTATCAAAACCAGAGCAGGCTGTGAACTGGAGAGAAGGGTCAACGGGGTATCGACAAGAGGCCAACTTAAGCACAGCATGAGTAAGACCTGCCAACCCAAGCATGTCTTAAGGATCAGGGCAGTCTGTCTTGTGGGAGAGGAAGTAGCAGTACCAGGAAAATATGTGAGCAGAAGCTCAACAACCGGCTGTCAGGGGTGCTGTAGACGGGGCTCGGGGACCAGTCTTGACCTCAGAACACCTTCTTATCCTAAAATTCTGAGGTATCTCCTTCAAAGTCAGATACACTTCTTTGCATTTCTTTCTAGACTTTAACTCTGTAGGAGTGTCCTGTGCCACTGAATACACTCAGAAATGATTTTCATTCCTTCAAGAGGGAGCACTTTAGATTCTGGGCCACTGAAAAGCCCTCTATATTCTCCATCATCCTGGCCTACCCACCTTACCAGTGTTATCCTCAAGGACTATTAAAAAAAAATGCTAAAGCACTGTCAAGGCCTGAACAGTGAATGGAATGAAGGTGAAATCCCTACTCTTGTTTGTATATATATTTTTTTCCTCCTGGTTCATAATATCTGTCTCATCAAATGGGAGAAAAATGGCAATGAACACGCTTTGCTGCAGCTTGTCACAATCACTGCTAACCAGAATTTGGTAAACTTAGCCTATGGGATATCAACAACTCTAGTTTTATCTTTCTGCCCTGCCCCTGTTTTCCTTGGCTCCCGTGGTTTTCTATTTTATTGTCCTGCAAGCTGACCGCAAAGTTGTTGGAAGCAGGGATCCCAGAATAAACAGACGCAGCATGGACCCAGGCCTGCCCCTCCCCGTCATCTCTGTATCTAAAAATGGCGTTGAGCACTTTGATTTGATCATGAAGAGAGAAGCATCTTGAACGGACTGATTGCAAAACAGATCTCATACTTGAGCTCAAGAAGCAATCATGCTTTGCTGGGTCATATTCTGATGCTATTTCCAATTTGCACCTGTCTTCAAAACAGGATCCAAGGTCCTTGAACTGTGTGGAAAGGGTCAAGAGTTTAAAAAAAAAATGACGTCTGTCACTGTTTAAATAGCTCCTCTATGTGGTCATCCCAACGGCTGGAGTAAACAACTACCATTTCTGTGATACATCAGCAACGGGATCTCCCCAGAGGACAGCCAAGAAACTAGCTGACGTTCTTGAAGGCAGGCATGCCAGGGCCTTCGCCTGCCAACAACTTCAGTCGTATTTCAGAACCTGACCACCTCTCCACAAGGCTGCTGAGGAGCCGCAGCAAACACTGCGAGTGAGAGGCTTCTGCATCCTCAACTGACACTCCCTGCCCCGAGGTACGACCATGACCAAGGGGGACATTTTGCTTTCCACCCCATCCCTGGGTCAACAACGATGACCCCCTGGAAGACCCATTGGAAGAGGGCAGACAGCAGATGGGACCAGCAGGAAAACACATCAAGACTCAAGCTTTGGCTCTAAAATAAGCAATGTTTGCAATCTGAAGGTTTAATTAGGTGAAGCAAACCCCCACCCCCCATACACGCTATCATTTACTGTGAAAGAAAATGAGAGAAGGCAGGCAGGGGATGAAGCAGAAAGAGGTGATGTTTTCTGGCATGTCCCCACCTCCCAGCCTCTGGGGCTGTGTCTCTAGGTCTGCTAACAACCAGGTGAGCAGCTCAGCACTGAAAGAAATATTGGTCCTGCAAGTTTAGGTCCCACAAGTGCCCACTGACAACGGGGATGTGTCCACGGCGAGGGGGTGGCCCACACCACACTCAGCCAAGGCTGGACACGAGCACCAGGGAACAGACAACGGGAGGACAGGACAGGACTCGTACCAGACGTCAGAGTGAGTGGTGAAGACTCCGTCCTTGAGGGACTCGGGGGACATCCAGCGGACGGGCAGCAGCCCCTTCCCCCCCTTCCGGTAATAGTCCGTCTCATAGATGTCTCTCGTCATCCCAAAATCTGTGAGGAGGAGAGAGGGCATGAGGTTACCCCAGGAGGGCACTGCGGGGCGGAAGCGGAGAGAACAATGACGGCTCAGAGAAGGCCTGTGCCCGCGGCTGAGCCAAGGGTGTAGGTGTCCGTGCTGCTGTCTGATGAGGCGGAAACTCTGAGGGTCGGTGAGTCACACGACAAGCAAATACCCAGACATCTCTGCCTTTAAATATATTTATACCGTAGTTCTGTTAAAAAGTTAGCTCCCTCATTGCATGTAAAATGAGAGGCATCTTACAAATTATCAAGACCCACATATTATCAGGAGAATACATACTGTGTACAGCAAAGGTCATCTATTTGTGGTTTAAAAACATGATCAAATAGCCAGGAGCATGTTGACTTTATTTACTTGGTAGCACCGCCTCATTATCAGAGGAAATGAAAGTAGTTTCACCATCTAATAAGGGGGAAAATATTGAGAGTACCAATTCACGGTAAAAAAAGTCCACAGCAAGCTGCCTAAGAGATGCTATTTACTAGGCCCTGAAGCTATTACTCAATAACGTTTTTCAACATAATACTCCCACTCATTTTTGAAAATGTCTTCCATTTTCCATGACTCTAGAAGAAGTCACATAATTATGTTTGATGGCAGGCTTGCTTTATAATCCTAAATTATTGCTTCTCTGTCAGATTTTGATTTTCCACTCAATCATGTAACCTCTCCTTACAGGGCGTCTTCCGACTCCTCCTCAGGAGAAAGGGCCGCTCTCCTTTTTAAAATGTTCATTTATGTCTCTAGCTCTGCCACAAAGAGGTAAGGCTACAAAGCAAACACAGAGAACAAAGTTCCTTGGACGCTAACCAACATAATTTCCTTGTCCCATGCTAAGGGCCACTGAACTGCCTCTGGTAAAATTGCTTGCTGTATTTGTAATCCATCAGACACTGGGCATTAGAAAAACATTTTCAAACCCTAGTAAAGAATAAAAATGAAGAGCTGAAGTCTTATCTCCAAATTAATCCAGTGACATGCAAAACAGAGGATTTGCTTTTACTTGCACAAAAAGGAAAAAAGAAAAAAGAAATCCCAGAAAAAGAGCACAGACTATTCCTTCCTTAACTCAAAAGAAAAACTTCAAATTTTAGGAAGAAAAACCCAAGTGCAAAGGAAATGTCACTACAGATATGCCACCTGGTTAAACAGCAAACAGAGTCCTTGCTGATTTGGACTCTCAGCGGCAAGTGGCACAAGAACGGCTCTTGGGGGCATCCTCAGTGGCGCTGCAGGGCGGGCAGGGCCACGAGGGGGCAGTAGGGAGTTAGGACGTGCCCGCACCAGGCACTGAGGCGCCCTGGGCCGTCCCGCACCATTCCCTCCAGCATCTCACGGCTCTTACAATCATGCCCCCTTCTGAGGTCAAGACACTGAGGTTCACAGAACTTAAGACACCTGCCTCAAGCCTCGAGGCTGCTGGTGGCAGAACCAGGTTTCAGTCTAGTTAGCAGCTGCCTGGCTCCACAGCTGGGGAAGAGGAGCTGGTGGGCATCCATGTGGGAATAGTCTGAGTCACCGCTGAGAAGGGCAGGGAAGGGAGGGGGCGCACAGAGGAAGCCCCGGCAGCGGCCTGAGGGCCTTCCCTGGGAGCCCTGGGGCAGGACAGCCTCTCAGACTCTCGGGAGCATCAAAGGGCCAAATCTAGGGACACATGAAGTGATTGATGGCCAAGTATATCTGCTCTGTGATACAGCTCCATCCAACACCTCAAGCACCTTACAAATGAAAGATAAAGACATCCTACTTGGGAACGCATTCTAGAGGGGCTACTCACTGTTCATCAAAGGGCCGAAATATTCATTCAAAATCACTGTGTGAATGAGAAGAAACCACAGCACTGCTAAAGGATGGTGAACACTTCCAGAACAGACAGTTTATGGGCTAGGCAAAGAGGCTGATTTTGAATAGCTTTTGAATATAAGGTCTTCCTGCAGCTTCTCAGAATAAATATTTAGCATTTTTCTAAGCCATGGTCATCTCACAGTGGGAAGAGCAGGTGGTTCCTGAGCAGCCCTGACGTTACATGTGTGTTGATCAAGCAGCTTCAAGGACTACAGTTAAAACCAAGCCTAAAGGCTGAAATCAACTCCTAACCAGTGACCAGAAATGTAAGCCACTCCACACTTCTGCTGTTACAGTGGGCAGTGACAACAAGGTTCTAAGGAGCAGGCTGGTTAGACACCAAGTCAGGGTTACAACGAAGATCCCAGGTGGGGCCAGAAGAACCCGCCTGCCAATGCAGAAGATGTAAGAAATGCAGGTTTGATCCCTGGATCAAGAAGATCCCTTGGAAAAGGATATGGCAACCCACTCCAGTATTCTTGCCTGGAGAATCCCATGGACAGAGGAGCCTGGAGGGCTACAGCCCATAGGGTCACAAAGAGTTGGCCACAAAGACTGAAGCGACTTAGCACACACCACAAGCATCAAGAGCTCAGAGGCTGATCAGCTCAAGTGTGAGCCCTGGAGAGCAGTGGTCTTCCCCCGCCGAGGGATTACCACCTTCCTGTCAACACTCCCGCTCGGTGCACGGGATTCACCTAGGGGACCTCACCTCTTAGAAAACTCCATGGACTCCTGATTGTTGTGGGGGAGCTAATACCCCTTGTAAACTGGAAAACTGGAGGACATACTGGTCACCTGGATGGTGACTTTAAGGCCCAAGTCAAAATCTCCTGAGGACATTTTCTCAACTATTCTTGGAACCAGTGCTTACAGCTGTTCTGCTGAAAAATGCCCCAAATGCCAGGAGAGGCAACCACAAGGATCATGGCCTCAGCTCGCCCTTGCCCACTGCCTGGACCGCTGCGCCCATGTGCCATTGAGATCAGAGCCAGCCTGGCTGGTTGACTACCAATGGGACACAATCACATGACTCCCAAGAGCAAGCCTCTGCCATCACAGGAAGCATGGGAAGACCTCTCCACAGGTAGGTTCATGCCCACGGGGTCCCTAAAACACATGCGACTTTAGCTCAGATCTGAAAAGCTAAGAACACACCTCCGATTTTGACTGTGAAATCTTCGGCCACCATGCAGTTCCGGGCAGCGAGGTCTCTGTGGACAAACTTATTGGCGTTGAGGTATGCCATGCCATCTGCAATCTCACCAGCCATCTGGATCATTTTGCTTAGGCTGGGAGGTGCTAGGACTGGATTATTCTGTTGGAGAGTCGGAAAAAAAAAAAAAAGATACACGTGAGAATTTAAGAATTTTTCCCACCCCACGCTCTTTCAGGGTTTGTCAATCCTCTTTTGCTCAACCTGAGCACCCCAAGTCACTCTGCGAGGAAAGCAGGATGGGCTCAGGAGGATGCCGTGGCGCTGCCCTCTGACCCAACACGGAGCTGCAGAGAGAAGCACCTATGAGCACAACTCGGACCTTTGGTGCTGGGTGGGACCAACAGCATTTAAAGTGAAGCCAGTGATTTCTGATATTAAGAATTCTGGATACTCAAAGTCCAATTAGTCTAAGTCTTCCTTTTACGTCTACAATTCAAGCCCATACAGGGAAAAGGGAGAGGACATTACAAAGGTCGTGTGGAAATAAGTAAACAGGTTTCCTGAATGGACGAAAGCTTTGTTATAAATTACTTAATCCTTCTCTTTCCCTTCCACTTTCTTCTAAAGTACAAAGACATCAAGACTAATCTGTTCCCCTTACAGAGTGGCATTCCTTGGATTATAATTTTCTGTGCGTGCTGTGGAAAGCAAGCCCTTGACAGTTCATTTAAGTCCAGCGGACACCTACTCTGGAGCGGACCGATGTCCAACAAGTAACATGGGTAAACATTTCCTCTTTGCAGAGGAGGGCAACATACCGACTTCGGCACTGAAAAGAAATACCCCCAAATGATAAGTCCACCTAGAAAAACATCATATAAAATGTGTGGCCAAGTTTCTTTATCCCAAAAGGTTTCTGTGCTGACCATCTCTTGCTTGTGTGAGTTCAACACTTTACCTCGGTTTCCCTGACTAGACAGCACCTCTTGTGACATGAAAAGCCGTCCTGCTTTGACAGGCCCCGTGCGTGCCCTCCCCAGCTCAAACCCTGGGCCACAGGAGGAGTGTGCACTGGCTCCTGCCTGGGCTCTTTCACACCCCTGGGTCAAGGCGGGGTTACTGCTAGGAGGATGACCGGGGACCATGCCTAGGAGTTGCTGGCTTTGCCCACTGAGGGGGCAGTTTCTGCCCCAAAGCTTGCTTCTGGAAGTAGGGTAACAACTTTCCAAGTACTTATGGGTTGGTTCCCTACACTTGAATCCTGAAGCTACTATCAGGAATGTCTGTGGTTTAAAATCCTCATCACTGAGCTGCCTGGGGAAGTGATGAGACGACCCGAAGGGTAAGCCAGAACACTCCTTTCCTTTACAAAGGGGCGTTGTGTGGATGAGCCTTTCCAGGGCTTTAGATGTGCCTGGTACACTAGGAAACTGGCAGGTAAAATGTTAAGTTTATGCCCAAGATGTTGTGGAGTATTAAGTTAGGTGCTTATTAGAAGTGGCCACTCATGATTAATATGACAAACAGAGAAGGAAATGGCAACCCACTCCAGTATTCTCGCCAGGAAAATCCCATGGACAGAGGAGGCTGGCGGGCCATAGTCCATGTGGCCACGGAGAGCCAGACTCGACGGAGTGTCTTCACTTTCTTTCTTTCTTACAAGTGGCCATTCATGATTAATGTAACAAACAGAAGCAAAGACAGGAACCTGATTTTAACTACTGAAAGAGAGGGCTGACTTTCTGTCAGTTCACGGTGCTAATACTGCCATGCTTTCAGATGTTTTAGAGAACAGAAATCTTTAATTTGCTTAGAACTACTTAAGACGTGCACACACGAGCATCCACAGTCAGCGAGGGGAATGTGTGAACCTCACGGGTCGGGGAGCGGGATGCGATGCAGAACATAACAGAACTACAGGACAAGCACACACAGCTTTATACGTGACATGGGTTAGAAGCACAACTCTAAATCTGACAAACCTAAAAGTGAAATTTTGATATGAGAAGGACCAACCATCTTATGCATATGGAAGGAAACCAAGGCCCAGAGCCCGAAACCACCACCTGAGGGCACAGACAGCTAGTGGCAGAGCCAGGCCGAGGGCGATGGACTTTTCATCCCGTGTCTGAGAATGGGGACGAAGGAAGTGAGTTCTTCAGGCTCCTCAGAGGTGGCGTCAGTGAATCTGACAGGAAACATGCTGCCACGTCTCCAGCCACCAGCTGATGAAGCCTCTCTCCTTGTGCTGGTCTGGGTATCACAGAGCCGGCTGGGACAAAGCACTGAGGTCCAGGGGAGCTGGGCGCCCCGCCAGGCAGAACAAAGGGTGGGCCTGTCGCAAACCACCCTGCTCAGGGCCTCGGTCCACACCGGGCTCTGTGGGCCTCGCAGAACCACACCCATCGGCTGTGAGTAAAGGAAGCCACGTGTGAACGAGTGCTTGGAACAAAAATTAAGGAACTACTATTTGGGAGATGATTCAATTGGGTAAAGAAAGGGCAGGGTCCAAGGCTTGTACAGCAGACCCAATGCTTCCTCAATAGGCAGCAAGGTCAGGATCCGAGTGAGGACCAGAGACCCAGCGAGGCAGTCAAGTGGAAGGCAGATGTGGCTGGTATTCCCTCTAAGAATTTATCTCCCAGTTTACTCTTAGAACTACTCTCTTAAAAGTCACGTCTCCAAATTATTAAAAGCTGGGTTCATGCTGCCAAAGGAGAGACACCACAGTGGTGAACCTGAAGCTTGTAATACAAATTGATATTTTTCCTGAGATCAGGCAGAGATCATGAGTTCAGCTGAGGCTATGACCATTCAGAAGCTCAAGCAAGATGATGACTGAAGATAAAGCCGGAAATGCGGATGCAGGAGGGGAGCCCCATTTTCAGAAATAGGGCTCCCTCGGCTCAACGGCTCAGACTGCCCACGCGAGGGGAGAAGGAGTACGTGAGGTGGGGGCTGAGGAGGGAGTGGGAGTCTGTGCACCAACCTGGGGGAAGCCATCCCGGCAGAGGAGTCAGGTCAACCTGAAACTGAACTCTGACAAGCTCGGCCCAAGAGGAGGCAGCAGAGATGGGTACCCCCAGACAGAGTGGGGGGCAGGAAAGGCTACAGGGAGGCAGCAGTGTGGACAGGTCTGTGGGTGGGAATTGGAGAGATGGTGCTGCAGGAGGTGATGCGGGGGTAGAGAGAATGAGGTAGCAGCAAAATCCCACAGGGGTTTGGTTAACAGGGTATCTGCGTACTGGCAAGGGCCTCTCACTGAAGATCCAGGTCTCGCTATAGTCAGGGAACTCCTTCGCATAAAGCAGGAGTCCCCAACCTCTGGGGCACCAACCAGTACCTCCTGTCAGATCAGCATCGGCATTAGATTAGAAGTAAAGTGCACAATAAGGGCTTCCCTTAAGGTGGCTCAGTGGGTAAAGAATCGGCCTGCAATGCAGGACATGTGGGTTTGATCCTTAATTCGGGAAGATCCCCTGGAGGAAGAAATGGCAACCCACTCCAGTATGCCTGGAGAATCCCATGGACAGAGGAGCCTGGAGGGCTATAGTCCACAGGGTTGCAAAGAGTTGGACACGACTGAAGCGACTTAGCACGCATACAAAGTGCACAATAAATGTAATGCGCTCGAATCATCCCCAAATCATCCCCCGGCTCTGGTCTGTGGAAAAACTGTCTTCCATGAAAGCAGTCCCTGATGCCAAAATGCTTGGGGACTGCAGCTATAAAGGACGGAGAACCAAGCATGCGGCAAGAAAAGTACATGAATTTAAAGACACAGTATCTTCTGGGGAAGGTTCTAAAGGAAAGGGAACAGACGACATGGGATGCGGATGAAAATCAGAACTTACCTCCATTTCTGGCCTCAGAGACCGGAGATAACTTTTGAGGTCCCCCCGGGTCATCAGTTCCATGATGACCAGCGTCGGCTGGCCCTGGGACACCACGCCCAGCAAGCGCACCTGTGAGGAAAGACAGAGGAGGGCTGAGCAGGTGCGGACTCCCCCGCTGCCGGGGCGCCGGGCGGGAGCAGAGCTGGATGGCAGGCGCCTCTGGGGGGCTCACGGGCCGGCCCTGCGCCGCATCGGGAGCCTCGTGCGCACAGCATGTAAGGGAAGAGCGGGCTGACTGGGGGCCCCGGCAGCCGGGGTGAGTGTGTGTGGCCCACACCCAGGGCCCACTCTCACCACATGGTGACAGTTGAACTCCTTCATCACCGAGGCCTCGTTGAGAAACTCGATCCGCTCGCGCATGCTGGCGGCCTCGTTCACCGTCTTAATGGCCACCCTGGTCTCGGGCTCGTCCTTGACCACGCCCTTGGCCACGCCTTCGTAGACCATCCCGAAGGAGCCCTGGCCCAGCTCCCGGCTCATGGTGATCTTCTCCCGGGCCACCTCCCACTCGTCAGGCACGTACACTGGGAAGGAAGAGGCCGGGGCTGAGCCAGCGGGACCGTGGGTGGGCAGAGCACAGTCTGGGCAAACGCCTCGCCAAGGAGGACTCTGCCACTTCCTGAAGCCCACAGAGGACAGCATCGGGGGACACGGCTATGTGGCTTGTTCTGGAATCCCCCACAGGCTCGGGATCTCAGCAAGGCCACTGTACAGTCAAACATTAGGTTTTCAACTCCTCACGGATTTCCAGATAATTCAAAGATACCAATGGCAAGTAAGAAACACAAAGTTGTCCAATTTCAGATGTTGCTATGAGTATAAAACTCACACTGGATTTCAAAAAATAATGTAACACTTCAATTGTTTTTATACTGACTGCATATTAAAACTGATAATACTTTGGATATACTGAGTTAAAGAAAACATTATCAATATGTATTTCACTAGTTTCTTTTTCCTATTTTACATGTGGCTACTAGAAACATTTCAGGTTTCTTAGGGGGCTGGCATTAACACTTCCATGGGTAGCTCTGCTCTAGCCTGGACAGAATCAGAGACCCTGGGGCCCTGAGTGAGCTATGGAAGCGATGAGCTCTGTCTCACTGCTCATTACTACCGAGGAGTAGTCAGTGGTGACCAGCATGGAGGAAGGGACAGCTCATGAGCAAAAGGGTCTCCCCAGGACTTGGGCCTGGGCTCTGTGAACTCAGGGACCTCACACCACTGGGGTGAGGGGCTGAGGAGTGAGGCTTGGCGATGACTAAGCCTGAATATGATTTCCTCTCCAGCCTATGCTTCTGGTCAGATTCAAGCTGGTTTAAGAAAATAAATAATTCTAGGCAGGAGGAAAGAGAAAGAAAGAGGGAAAGGAAGAAGGGGGGAAAGAAAGAAAACGGAAGAAAATCCATCCGACCACTCTGATGGGTAGGTGAGAACTAAAATAAAATGTACTTGTTCCACAGATCCGTAAGAAATTTCAATTATAACCGTATTCTTCTAATGCTGCGTGCTCATGTGCTTGTCTGAGAGGGAAACCCTTGGCTGGCTCCACTGATCAGAAAGAGATGTCCTGGCTCAGAAATGCAGATAGACTGGGAACCTGTGTTTGCCTTTATGCTTTTAGATGTTAACTGTGGGCCTTCGGCTGGATGTAAGAGAAGTGGGTTGACAGCTGTATCCTGACACTCTTGTAAAGATGTCTATGAATCAGGCCCAGGAGATACCACCAATTTACATCTCTAAGGAATGTCCAATATGAACTATGTTAATCAATATAGAATTTTCTTTCACATACATTTTTGTATTTCATAGTAGGTAGGTATGAGTTCAGGAATGTCACAAACGGAATTCCACCCTCCATACGGCTTAGACAGTTTATAGCCTGGAAGAGGAGGCTGATGCTTGCTTAGGAGAGTAAGTACAGAAGACATCCCAGTAGGTAAGACTCTTTCTGATACCCTTCAGAAAGTATAAAGAGACAGTCTATATCCATTTATCTCTGAAAATCCAGGCTTGCTTTTAGTCAGAATTAGCTATGTAGCACACCATGAAACACGGAGTTAAACCCAATCACATTCATCCCTTGGAGGTGGCTGAAGTCAATACTCACAATCCCTTCTCTCAATTCAACCCAGCAGCTCTGACTTTAGCCAGCAGTCCTAAGCCCTGCCGGGCAGCAGAGGCTTCTGTGCACAATGCTATCAGCGTTTCCCCGGAGGGGATTTTCAGTGTGCTTGGAGAATGGTGACATGCAGATTAGCTCTCAGAGAGAGAAGTTTTTTAAGCGTTTTTGAACTGCGACGTCATTTTGTTGCCCTTTGAGGAAACTAGCTATAAGATGCTTGTCCAAAGGCCAAATAAATTAAGTTCAAATAAAGTGACAGTATTTCTACCTGTTGGCCTGAGTGATAGTAAGCTTTGTTTTGTTTTTAAAGAATCAAGAGACTATATTATGAAAGCACTCTGGAAAGACACAGAACTTGAATTCAAATCGCCATTAGAGTCTGATTTGATTGTGCTCTCTCAAACTTCCTAGATACTTCATAGTCAAAGCTGCAAATGCCAATCTTATATGCTTTATTCTCTACAGCAGGCTTACTCCAAACCGATAGAGCAGGGAAGTGGCCTTACATTTTCCTATATCAATAATAAGTTATTAATAAATAATAATAATCTATGTTAGATTAATTGATTAAAAACTACATTTACATAAACAATGCATAAAAATCATCTTTGTTTTAAAGAAAAAGACCCTCTCCACAAGCAATTACTCTTTTAAGTCTGGCATGTATCCTTCCAGAACGTTCTCTGTGCCTTATACACACATGCACAGATGTATAGGTATGTGTGCATGCATATATGCCTTTTAGTTTAAAAACATCATCCATTTTATTTTTGGCTGTGGTGGGCTTCTGCTGCGGCACACAGGCTTTCTCTGGTTGCTGAGCAGGCTTCTCACCGCAGAGGCTTCTCTTGTGGCAGAGCTCAGCCTCCAGGTGTGCGGGCTTCAGTACCTGTGGCTTGTGGGTTTGGGAGTGTTTGTCCGGCAGCCATGGCTCAAGGGGTTAGCTGCTCCCTGGCATGCGGGATCTTCCTCGACCAGGGATCAAATCAGTGTCCCTTGCATTGCAAGGCGTATTCTTAAACCACTGGAGCACCAAGGAAGCACATATATGCCTTTTAAAAATACAGCTTCGTGAAACCTTTATAATGTCCTCGTCATTCTACATTTGATTCCCATTCAGAGGACTCTGCTTTTGACTGGTTCTATTGTAAACACCGTTTGAACTAGAAATTATTAAAGAAATCACAGTAGTAAAAATCACACACTTATACATATAGTGCTTTAAATCATTTCCTCATTTGATGAGGATGAGCAGTTAGAACAATCAGGATTCTTTATTTCATGTCTCTTGTATATACACTTCTACTTCTGAAGCATGACCAGTCAAACAATTTTCTGAACACATTAAATTAATTCCACTCTTTATGCATTTGACAGACTGGGTCCAGCTCTTCCTATGGGCCCCCTTGCCTGCAACACCCCCAGAACCTCACAGTCCTTCCTCACAGCATCACATGTTAACAAGGGGACTGCTTTACCCTGACTTCTCAACCGCCTAGCTCTGTGACCTGGGCGTGTTTCTTCTCTGAGCCTCATCACCCAACGAAGAGACAGAGAAGCATCAGAAAATCCATCCTACAGGGTTTCTTGGTGGCTCAGATGGTAAGTAATCCGCCTGCAATGTAGGAGGCCAGGGCTTGATTCCTGGGTCAGGAAGATCCCCTGGATAAGGGAATGGCTGCCCACTCCAGTGTTCTTGCTGGAGAAGCCCATGGACAGAGGAGCCTGGCGGGCTACAGTCCGTGCACAGGTGGGCAAGGAGTCAGACATAACTAAGTGTAACACTTTCACCTTCATAAGGATGTAGGGATTAAATGGGTAGGCATTTGTGAATGCCCTAGCAAAGGGCCAGGTAGAGGCACCCAATGGCCAAGGGCTCACCCCAACTTGCCTTGAAAAGTTTGGATTTTGGCAAACTAGGAAGACAAGATAGCAAAAAAGGGGGAAAAAGGAACGATCCGACTTCCAAGTCAGACCTTCTCAGCCATTTAAATAAACAGCTCTCACAAGTGATCACCAGAGGGGATGGGAATGGGCCATGAGGGTATGAAGGCCCCAGTCAGGAGGGAATGAACAGAAAATCTCCAAGATATGGAAAGCTGAGAAGCCATGGTGATCAGAGACAATTTTAAAAACATGACACTTGAGGTAAAACTAGTTTGAAAGGACTGCTTTGTCAGCTGCAGCAATCTTCTAACTAGATGTTGACAATTACACAGCTTTTTTCATTCTAGCATAAAATTTCAGGCAATTAACTAAATGAATTACTGTGCTGGCCACATTCATCTCTGAAGCCCGTCTTCTCTTGGGGCAGCTCAGACAGTCCGAGAATTTTTGACATATGCAGTGAACTGCTCAAAACTTTGTTTTTTAAAAAAAGAAAGTATTAATGAAGACAGATCTGAGGTCAAATGTACCTCAAAACAACGCAAACCTCTTCCCCTGAATTAGTAACACTCAAAAGCTCCCAAGCTGGGACCTCAGGCAGGGACTTACCATCAGCTGCGCTGAAATATTCCGGGTTCACAGAGGCATACAGCACTCCATTTCCCAGCCTGCTGTTATTTCTGCCAAAAAGATGAAACTTAGGTTAGAAAAAAAAAAAAAAAAGCCCACACATTTCTGTTTGTACTTTCATCTGTTTTATTTGTTCTGATTCAGTAAGGACCAGGAGGAGTGGGGAAGGGTAGTGCCATCAGGACAACTCACCCTAACGCCTCTCTTGGCTTCCTCCTTGGCCTCAAATTAGAAACATTTCTTTCCTTACTTCATTAGAAATTGAAAGCTTATTTTATGGACAGGGTTAAAATACCATGTTTGAAAAAGCTTTGCAGAAGCAGCAATATCTGTGATGGGTCAACCAGACTCAAAAAAAAAATATTTCTGCTGTTGAATCATTAGAAAATTTTCTCTTCTTCTGTAAAGAACATTTGACTGGAAAATCAGATTTTCTGATCCATAAGATAGTGTCTTAAACTCCTCAAAAAGTTCATCTTAACTCAGGTTCAAATCATCAAACCAGTCCAAAGCAGCAAGTGTGTGAACTTCACAGCAAGGCACTCACCTTTTTCTATGGAAGACGTACAGCATCATAAGCAACCCTCCCACTATCAACAGAACCGCAATGGGCAGAGCGATGATCAGGTGGATGAAGTTCTCATACGTTGCTGCAGAAACAAGCCAGAAATGAGAGCATGTCAGGAGACGAACATATTTCATATTTAGTTGAAAGTATGAAAAAAAAAATCCCTGAGAGTTCCTCTATTGCTTAACATGAACTAGGAATTCTAGTTGGCTATACAAAAAAAGAGAAAGAAAACCAAGTCATTTGCAAAAATATTAAAGAAGTGCAGACTGAGAAAGAGAGTCATTTTTATTGTCAACCTAAGTATATTCTGAAATAGTTCAAATGATGGATTCAAGTAAACTAATCTCTGGTGGCTCAGTGGTAAAGAATCCACCTGCAATGCAGGAGACCTGGGAGACACGGGTTCAATCCCTGGGGTAGGAGATGGCAGCCCATGCCAGTACTATCGCCTGGAAAATCCCATGGACAGAGGAGCCTGGTGGGCCGCGGCCCACAGGGTTGCAGAGAGTTGGACACAACTGAGTGCACACACACAGACACACACAGTTAGACGACTATTAATGGAATTGCATACATTTGCTAAAATAAGATGGATAGATTTTTATTTATATAGTGCTCAAGCTCAATCTGTCTTAAGACACTTCCACAGACAACTTAAAAAAACAAGAGTAATTGGATGACACCCCTTGCCAAAGCTGCTCTGAATTCTCCCCAAACATCAGAGGCCACAGTTACAGTCTGAGACCACAGAGCCCACACCTGCTCATCACCACGCTCAGCTCTTAGACGACAGATGACAGGCTGGACACTGATCCACATGCTTAGAAAATTCAGCCGGACGCTGGCAATCAACATGTCCACAGGGAGCAGAACCACCAGACAAGTGGACTAGACACACTGCAAGGAGGCAGGGAGGAAACAAGAGTGTGGAGGGAGTCAGGAGAAGCTGGCCAAGCAGAGCATGGCTGGAAGTGACGCCGCAGAGAAGTCAGGGCTGGTTCCCAGGGGCCCTGTCCAGGCTAAGCAGCGTGAACTGTACTCTGCAGATGAAGAGGAACAGGGGAGAGCCCTCCAGTCCTGCAGTGAACTTGATGGGACTTGGGTGGGGAGAGCTGGCTGTGCCCAAGGACAGCCTGAGCGGCTGGCAGTGGGCAGGGGCCTCTGCCCTCTCCCAGGGAGGGGTCCTAGGCATGTTCTGCATCGCCCAACTCGGACCTCCCAAGGGAATCACTGCTCCTTTTCTATGAGTGACTGAGACTCTCAGAGATGAACTGCCCCCCGCAAGGTCACACAGGCAGCGGGCTGGCCTTGGCACCCAGGATTCCTGTACCCCAGCTCGCACTTTCCCCACGAAGTAAGTGCCTTAGAGGCTCTGAGCCGAGGTGGTGGTGGTGGCTACAGAGGCTGGACTCCAAAGAGAACTCAGAGGCAGAAAAGAGGAGATGTGGGTTTGAATGAGAAGTGGGTGGCAGGAGAGAAGAGGAGCGGTGGCCACGAGGCTCCTGGATTGGGTGCTGTGTGGGTCATGGGGCCACAGACTGAGCTGAGGAACGGAGGCGGGAGGGATTGTGAAGGTGCCAACTGTGACTCTGGTTTTGTGCACGACGCACCTCAAGTGCCTGTGGGATATTTGAGAAATGTCTACGTGGAAATGAGGGTGGAACTCACTGGGGACCCAGTTACATCTATTAAGTCCCCCCATCAATAATTACTTTGCCACTAAATACTACTATTATTATTACTCTGTAAGGACTATTAAACTTATTTTAATTTTTAAAGTATTTTTATCAAAGTGTTCTAGACAAGGAGGCAGGCTCCTACATTTCCTAGTTCTTGAATACAGTTGCAAGTTAACAGGGCTTTTGGGAAGCTAGCAGAGGGGTTTTTTTTTGCCCCCTGAGGACTATTTCTTCTATTTGTATCACTTATAGTACTGGTCAGGTTGTACCGTGTTCTTTTTGAGTTTCACATTTCAACAGGGACATGGAGAAACTGGAACACATCCACAGAAGAACAAAATGATTGAACGGCTGGAAAATTGGTTTCTGAGACTGGCTTATGAGAAAGGGCCCCAAACTTGAGATTATTTAGTCTGGAGAAGAAAAGACTGAAGAGTAATTTAGTAGTATTTAAGCACATGAAGGGCTCCTAAAAGGAGATCAGTTGCCAGAAAGCTTCCAAAGCTTCCGTCTCCTCTTGAGGATCGGGCAGGAGAGGAGGCTCAGTCCCAGCAGGAGGGAATCTGGTCTGACACCAGGAAGAGCCTCCTGAGAGTAAAGCAGGCACAGAGATCCACTTCCCCGGGGATGTTTGCCACCTCATGCTGGACAGGTGCCACCAGTGGGGCTCTGGGCCTCCCACCGGCTCCCAGGACCCACAGGGTTCACAGTGGGGGCGACGGCAGACAGGACGAGGACACGGTCTTCTCGCCGACAAGCCAAGCTCACTGCGCCTCAGAAGCCCATGCTGCTGTTTCAAAGAACACAGCGCCGCACGAGTCCCCTACGTCTGGGCTCTGTTCCTGAGAGGATGGAGAAAGTTCCCTTGCTGGAGGGCATGGCACCCGCCAACTGCAAAGAGGAGGTGAAGCGGGGCGCATGGAGAATTCAGACCATTTCAGATGACGGAACGATCTAAGCACCTCTTTAGCCCTCCTCATACAGTGCCGGGCTCATAAAACGATGCCTCAAGGTTGGCAATTCTATCCCCCCCATCCTTCTTTAGGTATCTGTCATGCCGTAGATTTCTAAATATCATGTGTGTCTTGGACTTTGAGGCACTAACCAGATGGTCTGCTGGATTCATTGAATCCTGAGTTCAATAACTCAGATTCCAGACCAGAGCAGCACAGGTGTGGACACCAGAGGGGACCAGGGCAGTGGGAACTGCACACTCAACCCAAAAGATGCACCACTCAGCAAGCGGGGGTCACTTTTTCTCCAGCAAGCAGTCAGGAATAGTGTTACAACCAGTCTGATCTTACTATCTGAACATGAAATAATCTTAAAAATCTGGTTTCTACTACAAAATAGTACGAACTCAAAATGGAAATAACAAGGAATATTTATGTCACCAACCGAAAATACTGAATTTTCTTGGCCAAGCAAGTACAGTGCCCTTGTGCTCATACATTTTACAAACTCAGTTTTAAAATCAAAAATCCTCACACAGAATGGCCTTCTAAGAATACTGTCGTGTTGATGGTTTGAGCGTAAACTCAACACATGGCCGTCTCTGTGCCAAATGGGGAGTGTGTGTGTGCAGGCGTGCTAAGTTGCTTCAGCTGTGTCCAACGCTTTGCAACCCCATGGACTGCAGCCCGCCAGGCTCCTCTGTCCACGGGATTCTCCAGGCAAGAATACTGGAGCGGGTTGCCATGCCCTCTTCCAGGGGATTGTCCTGACCCAGGGATCGAACCCAAGTCTCTAGTATCTTCTGTATTGGCAGGAGGTTCTTTACCACTCGAACCTCCTGGGAAGCCCATCACCACACGGAGTACTGTGCGCTCTCAGTGTGTGCTGCTGCTTTATAAGCGCACCTGTCTCTCACCAACGAGCAGTGATGGGGCGACACCTCGGCCTGGGACTCTGTCACGGCGATGACTCCTGCCCTGAAGCGGGCTGGACCAGAAGGCCGCCAGGTTTGTGTCCCCCCCTAGGATTCTAAGCCCCGAGTCTGAGCCCCAGCCACCATCCCTGACAAGGCAGAAGGCAGAATGGTGGATTCAGTGCTTTGTAAAATGCTCTGGACATAAGCTGAGAGCGAGGGCCCCCTTGTTGACTCCCTCAGAAGAGGGTCTCTGAGGCAGGGACTCCACGTGCAGCAGTTCCCCGGCCTGAGCTCCCAGACGGGGTGCTGGCAGAAGGGTGCCCCTTCTCAGTGGTGGGTGACGGGAATCAGAAAACCAGACGACCCAGGCGTCCCCGGCCCAGCCCCATCAGCAGTCCCACCACGGCCTTACTCTTGGCCTGAACGTAGAAGAACACGGGATCCGTCCACGACCCGTTCCCAGAGAGAGAGGTGGCCTGGATGCGGGCTGTGTAGTTCCCCGGGTTGAGCCGGTTGAGCTTGGCCCCGCCATACTTCCTGTACTCCTGTCTGGACACACATTCCCGCTGATCCTGGAGGAAATAAAACATACACGTCAGTCCCCCCACACACGCTGGAAATGAGCAGCTGTGGCTGCCTGGCCTCTCGCCTCCCACTGAACGCTGACCTAGATTTGCAAGAAAAGGGTAAATACCAGCTTTACGTGGTGGCAGTTCTCCGGTAACTGAAAGCACACCCAAGCATTAACCAAACCTTATTGTTTAACCAAAAGGAGTTTCAGAAAGATTAAGTTATTAAGACCAGTCTCCAGGCTGAAAGATCATTTTCCGTAAAGAAACAGTTTCTTGGGGGGTGAGGATAAGCCAGCTCCTTGCACACCGTGAAAATTCCTCAAAGAGCATAGGGCTGCCAGAAAGACCTAAATCCTGACTGACTCACCTCCTTATTCCATCGTTCGGTCTTCAGCTGACCGGGAGTGTCTGGTGTCATGGTGTAACATACACAACACCTGTAACGGAAATGCACCCACACGTGCCCGCTGTCCAGACTCACCTCGACTTGGGATCCGTATTTTATTTCATACATGAGGATCAATCCATTGGGATTCTCAGGTTCTGGCCATTTTAAAAAGATGGAGTTCTCAGGCCTTGGCTCCCAGGTCACTGGCCCAGGAATGTCATCTGCCCCTTCTGTGCAACAATTGAAACAGGCAAGAAAGTTAGATTCGAGCCCCCGAGAAGGGACAGAAACACTGGACTAACTCAGGCGGCCTCCCCAACCCCTCACACAGAGCAGAGGACAGCACCCGCAGTGACCCCTCTTGGCCTGGCCACACACACACAGCAGGGGTTTGGGAATCGGGACAAGCTAACGACTGTGAGTCTTGAGATGCCACCACACCCTCCCTTCCCGCTCCGGTCCCCCAACAGAAAAGCACAGGAGGACAATCTTGGCAATCCCAGTCACTCAGGTCTGGTCCTCAGCTTCTATGTGATGCCGTCAACACCGGCGGCACGGAAAAGGCGCAGCGTGAGCAGAAGCAGCAGCCCCGGCCTGCATGCTAGGCCCTGAACCGTGCTCTGCATCTGCACACGGCAGATGCCATTTCTAGGCAGGTGTGAAGGATGCTCCTCCAGCCTGCCTGTGAGGAGGCTGCCAGGAAGCTGGTGCTGAGCGCAAGCTCGCTGGGGTGCAATCAGCGACTCCTCCAGCTGTCAGGGGAGGCTGGGGTGCCTGCTCTCTTGCTTTTGTTTTCTTAAAGTAGTAAGCCAGGTGGTGAGCAAAGTCACTGCAAGTGCCAGCTGGGAAGGGCTCTGAGAAATCAGCTGAGCTGTGTCTCTCCTGGGAGGGTGAGGAGATGTAGGCTGGGTCGGTTGGCAGAGGCGCATCTGTGCTGGAACTGCACCCAGGAGGTCCCATCCCCAGACACAGACACTCTGTGTTCCCTGCCAGCTCTGCAGGGAAGCAAATGCTGCAGTTCACCCATCCTCAAAGGTGGATGTGGGGCTGTCTGAGCCACAGGCAGCTTCTAACTTACAAGAGGAAGGTGGAGACTAAGCAAGCAGGACCAAAGACTGCATGGGAGCTGACCCTGAGGAGGGATGCTCACTCTGAATCAGGGCTGCACACTGGGGATTTCACTGAAACTCTGGGAACTCAGGAGGAGCCGGGCAGAAAAAGGCCATGGGAATGCATGATGCAAACCCACAAGAAGAAGGAAAAGTTGATCCTGAATCAAGCTCCCTGCTCTCAAGTACTTTGTATGGAGAGACTGGGGTGGGAGTGGGGTTGCTCTGCATGAATGCCATTCCCTACTGGGCTACCAGATCACCTGCAAATGACCACCATTCTTTAATCAGCAGGACTGAGACTAAGAGTGTCAGCCTCTGTCTCATCACATCACAGTCTGCTCCAGTAGGTTGGGTGTGGGTGAGCTGGATCATACCGTACCTGCAGGCATCGTTCTCGCAAAGACAAAGTTGGAGGCGCTGCAGCCAAGCTTCTCAGCCTCGTGGTTACAGCTGTGGATGTCGATTCGGTACAGAGTAAAAGGCCGGAGGTTGGAGATGACAGTTCTCTCCTTGTTGTCCACTCTGCTCTCAAAGAAAGGGTACTCGGTCTCGAGCTCTTCCGGGTCTGTAATGTTGTAGGTGTCCAGCACTGTGGTGTTCCTGCTCCGGCTGGACACAGTGGTGTTGGCGATCTGCATGACCTCCCTCCGCTTCCGTTCGGGTCTGCAAGGAAGAGAGAAATGTGGCTTGTCAGTGAGGGCTTCTGCCTCTCTTGTCTCTCCTCTGGCTCGGGCCAGAGTGAGAGAAAGAAAAGAAAAATCTTCACCTTGGAATAAAAGGAGCTATTCAACCCCCCTGTATAACAACCAACAAATAATACGGGCTTTCCTGCATCACTTATTTTGTTTTCTCGGCACCGCAAACCTCAGCCTCACCATGCAAAGTACTTCATGCTCCCAGAGTGGTTACTCAATAGCTGTTGTTCAGTCGCTGAGTCATATCTGACTCTTTGCAACCCCATGGACTGCAGCTACCCTGTCCTTCACTGTTTCCCAGAGTTTGCTCAAACTCATGTCTGTTGAGTCAGTGAGATGTCATCCAGCCATCTCATCCTCTTTTGCCCCCTTTTCCTCCTGCCCTCAATCTTTACCAGTATCAGGGCCTTTTCCAAGGAGTCAGCTCTTATCATCAGGTGGCCAAACTATCAGAGCTTCAGCTTCAGTATCAGTCCTTCCAGTGAGTATTTAGGGTTGATTTCCTTTAGGATGGACTGGTTGGATCTCCGTGCAGTCCAAGGGACTCTCAAGAGTCTTCTCCAGCACCACAGTTCAAAAGCATCAATTCTTTGGCACTCAGCTTTCTTTATGGTCCAACTTGCACATCCATACACGCTACTGGAAAAACCATAGCTTTGATTATGTGGACCTCTGTTGGTAGACTGATGTCTCTGCTTTTTAATACGCTGTCTAGCTTTGTCATAGCTTTCCTTCCAGGAAACAAGCATCTTTTAATTTCATGGCTGCAGTCGTACAGTCCACAGTGATTTTGGAGCCCAAGAAAATAAAGTCAGTCAGCTTCCACTTTTCCCCATCTGTATGCCCTGAAGTGATGGGGCTGGATGCTATGATCTTAGTTTTTTGAATGTTGAGTTCTTTTTTTTTACTTACTTATTTATTGGCTGTGCTGGGTCTTTTCTGCTGTGTGGGCGTTTTCTCCAGGTGTGGTGCTCAGGCTTCTCTTGCTGCAGGGCGTGGGCCCTGGAGCACAGCTTTAACACCTGCGGAGCACAGACTGAGCTGCTCTGCAGCATGTGGCCTCTTCCGTGACCACGAACCGAACCCACGTCTCCCACATCAGCAAGTGGATTCTTCACCACTGAGCCACTGAATGCTGAGTTTCAAGCCAGATTTTTCACTCTCCTCTTTCACACTCAAGAGGCTCTTTAGTTCCTCTTCACCTTCTGTCATTAGGGTGGTGTTATCTGCCTATCTGAGGTTGTTGATATTTCTCCCGGCAATCTTGACTCCAGCTTGTGATTCATCCAGTCTGGCATTTTGCACTATGTATTCTGCACGTAAGTTACATAAGCAGAATGACAATATACGGCCTCCTTGTACACGATTTCCAATTTTGAACCAGTCCTTTCCTGGTCTGTTGGGAGGGAGGCCCAAACCCCAGATTCACTGTTCATGAGTCAGGGTGGTAGGAAAGCCACTGAACCTGGGTTCTAGTTTGAAAACATCTTTGAGCTCTTTTCTAACCTCCCTCAAACTTCCTGGTTCTTGAAAGCATGCACAACATACAGAACATCTGGACTAACACATGAGCTGCAGCCCTACCATCCGCTGTGAGCAAAACACATCACTGGTGGGGCAGGGTGAGAGGTGCTATGGTTTCAACAGTGACAGAGAAGGGAGGGGGAAGAAATCTGTGAAATGACCCAAGTTTATTATGGAAAAAAGAAAAAACTAGTGCCTCCACTTCTAAAAGGTCTTGATTTCCTGTTTTAAAGACTTCTAAAGTAAGATGTCTATCTTTGACTACTATACAAATATCAAGAAGGTCACTTGATAGAAAATAGAAGTCTCTTTCAAAACCCTCTGTTGCTACAACCTAAATGCCTTTGAGGGCAAACCAAATGCAGCATAAACAGAAGCCAGGGGCTGCTGGTATCCCTGCGAGTGGGGAGCTAGGAGAAGACGGATGCCCAGCAGAACGCACTGGAGGCAGGGACACCATGGGGGTGGGAAAATGGGCCTGCAGGTACAATACTGGCCTGGATCCTGCTCCTATGCCCAGATTTCAGGCACGAGGTTGTTTCCAAACCCTGTACTACAATTTTTCAGGAAGAAAAAGGCACCATCAGCCACCTCCCCATTTCCACCTCCTTCCCCAGACACTACAAGGCTGCCCTGGTGAGTGTCCCTCTGATTTTTTTTTTTTTTTTTACTATTTTGTGTTGTGGTTAAAAACAAACTTTTAGCAGAAAAAAAGCTAACAAAACTTTGTAAATTTAACCACTTTTAGGTGTAAAATTCAGTGTCCTTGATGACATTCATAATGCTGGGTAACCATCACCAAAATCTTTCATCACCCCAAACAGAAGTTCTAGACACAGTAAGGAATACCCATTTTCCCTCTCTCAGCACTTGGTAATCTGTAATCTACTTTCCATTGCCATGAATTTGCCTACTCTGGATATTTCACATACATAGAATCATGTAGTATCACCCTCTGCATCTGGCTGTTTTCACTCAGCATAGTGTTTTCAAGGCTCATTCATGTTGTTCAGAATCTCATTCCTTTACATGGTTGAATAATATTCCATCACAGGGACAGACCACATTGGCTCATCCCTTTATCTGCTGGTGGACACATGGGTGGTTCCCAGCTTTTGGCAACTTGAATAATTCTGCTCTAGATGTTTATTTTCCTCCAATTTGTCCTCACTTGGCAGAAGTGGAGGCTGGAGCAACAGAGAAGACAGGTGCCCTGGGGTCGAGCTGTATGTCTTGGAGAGGCTGTCTTTGGCACGGCTTCACAAACTGTTTTTTGAGGGACGCTGCGGTGCTCGGTTATGCTTTGAGGTGGAGCCCGTTTCAAAACCGACTGAATTTCTCCTTACTTGGCTCCTCCTTGGCCAGGCTGGGAGTCCGGCGGGGAGGCGCAGGAAGGGCCCAAACCCCCGCTCCTTCACTTGCAGGTGCCTGCAAGTGGCCAGTGCTCGCCGCTCCCTGAGCCCACAGGCCGCCCACAGGGGACTGGGCGGCTGTCCCCGGTCGCCCGTCACCCTGACGGCGCCCACGGTGCAGGCTGCGAGCTCCTGGCCCGTCCGTCAGGGCTGAGCGCCCACTCGCCCAGCCGGTCGCCTGCTCTGTCGTCTCTCCGTGACGGCCCCCGGGGCCTCACTTCCGGGCTGTCAACCTGCGCACGGTGGGCGGGGCTGGGGGCGGCAGCACCGCGGAGGACGCGGTGCCTGCGCGTGAAGATGGCGGGGCCTGGGTACGAAGATGGTGGTACCTGGGCCCCAAGATGGCAGTACCTGGGCACGAAGATGGCGTTGTGCAGGAAGTTCTCGAAGACCTTGCGGTATTCGGCCTCCTCCTTCTCCGCCTGCTTCTCGGCTTCAGTTTTGGGGCAAGCACAGCACGGCCCTTTCTCCCCGCCGCACACCTCGGTCTTGGGGTTCTCCGTCACCTCCTCGACATCGATGGTGCCATCGGCATACTTCCTGATGGGGATTTTGTCTGCTCGGAACAGAGTGGCCTCGTGAGAGCCAAGTTACACGGGCTGCCCGGGAAGGAAGAGCCCAGCGCACCCGGGCTCACGACGGCCGCTGGCCCCTCGCCCCCTGACGCGGGCGCGCCCCGGGGCTACGGGGTCGCGGGCCGCCCCCCGGCCTCCCCCTCACCTTTGGAGCAGTAGTTATGCCGGTACAGGTAGCTGTCCTGGGGCTGGCGCTGCCAGCGCACGATGTAGTAGCTCAGGTTGCCGTTGGGCAGGGAGGGCGGGTTCCACTTCACGATCAGCTGAGAAGAGGAGTTTGAGGCCGAGAGGACATCCAGGGGGATGGAAGGAACTGGGAAGGAAGGCAGAGGACACTTCAGAAAATGGAAGGAAGTCGAGACCCAGGCTGCCAGATACTTAATGCAAAGCCACCAGACTGTGACCTGGATAGGAAAATGGCGGTGGACACAGACCCAAGAGGCAAACCGAACCTTGTTTCCAAACTGTATTACTTTCCCTTTATAGCATCTGTTCTCAGGTCATCTCCCATGCCAAATATGACTAACCGTTAGTCGATGGCCAAGAGCCGTGGGGGCGCAGCCAGGGTTGGGACAGATGACTTAGAATCTACAGTTAATGCAAATGCTATACTGTCCTCATGTATCAGCGCTGCCATCCTCCAAGACGTTTAACTCAGGCAGTGTCAGCAAATGGTAAGACCGACTGCCTTGTGTGTGTGGGCGGGGGTGGGGTTTCAAGAGGGAGGGGACATAGGTTTACCTATGGCAGATTCATGTGGGTATGTGGCAGAAACCAACACAATATTGTAAAGCAATTATCCTTCAATTAAAATAAATTTTTTAAAAATTAGAAAAGAAAAACTGACTTCTATTTTATTTGAGATTTTGAATCTCTGATTAAAAAAAGGGAAAAAAAAAAACAAAATGAAAGGGGGACTTAAAAAGGGTGATGAGGGTGGGGGGCAGAGCACAGGAGGCTCTGGAGGAAAAGGCAATGAAAAAAGGGTCTGTAAGTCTGACAATTGTATAACAATGAATCTGTGGAAGTATGGAGTTATGACTATGAGAAGTCTAAAAATATCTGGAACACATATAAAGCCCTGATTTCAAGTCATGGACTTTTGTTACCATCAAAAGAATATCGATTACAGGCAAAGTATAAGAATCTGGTCAAACTGTACTTACTATTGCCCCTAAATCCCAAACCCAGAGCTGAATTGTGTATAAAGGGCAAATGCATCCAGGGACCACTGAAATCTTGTTTTCATTAGGTTCACAAAAAAAGCATTGATTTTGGTAGGTTTACTAAAGTGCGAGAAAACACCTTCGCTACATGCCACTTAAGCAATGTGGTCATGTAAGCTGCTTTTTTAATTTAATTGGAGTGTAACTGCTTTTCAATGTTGTGTTAGTGTGCTGTACAACAACATGAATTAGCTGTTTGTATACATATGTCCGCTCCTTCTTGAGGCTCCTTCATACATCCCCGTCTCACCCCTAGGCCATCACAGAGCACTGAGCTGAGTGAGCTTCCTATGCAAGCTGCTTTTCAAATTCGAAAGCTTAAGGGACAACATATACATGAGGTTCTGAACACTTGCAGGGAGGACACATTAGGAAAAAGTTATGACTAATGCTAACTCTCTCTGGGAAAATGTTTTAACTACTAAATGCGAGGCCATTTTAGCACTTCCTAGAATAAGTATTTAAGAAACACACAGCTGACCCAGAGAAGTTTCAATAACAGGTGTCACACAAAAACTGAAGCCAAGGACTAAGCCACTCTCTGACTACCACCTGTAAGGATAGCCGCAAATGGAGCAAACGGACTCAGTTTGTGCAGTGCTTTGTTTCCTATCTTTGGGGAAAGGAAACAAGTTTCTTAAGAATTGGTCATAGCAAAGAAAGATTTTTATTTTCCCCAAATTAGTCACAATGAATTACTTCCAAATTTTTAGGCTGAACAACTTGTTCTGTTTCCTTGAGTGAGCCTCTGCTACATCATCCCAGGCCTAGAATCAGAAGCCTGTGTCACATTTATTGATACAAATGCTGTACCTTCCGTGACATGATCATAGCCACTTAGAAGAGCATTGGGATGGAACAGGGGAGGGGAGGAGGAGGCAAGAGAATATGAGCAAAAGGATTTCCTGACCAACATTTTTTTCCTCTCCCTCTTTACCATTTAAATTCACTTTGTGCTAGCTTATATGTGTTTTAACAGCCTACGCATTGTAACAATGGCTATCATCAAAGAATGTTTAAGTGCTTTTTAAAATGATGTGCATTTCCCTACTTCTAACCTGGTATTTATACACTTGGAAAATTGACACAAATGTTTGCTCTCATTAGTTTCAGATTCTGGAGTTGAGAAATGAGGTAGTTTAGAAAATGGGGACCAGGGGAGAAGGAGGCACATTGTCATCAGCAATCATCTGCAGTGTCTACCACGTGGTTCCTCTCATGCTTTTCAACTTGTGTTTGTTTTCTTGGAACCCTAGGCGCCACAGGATGAAGGTGAGAAACCAGTGAGCCCGAGATAAACTGGAACACCAACCAGCAGGGCTTCAGTTCCCAGAGGTCCAACTATCCAAATAAACAAGAAGGGGAGCCCAGGGGACTGTATCCCATTGGGGCCTTCCAAAGAAACCAACCCAGCACCCTGGGGGACCTGGGCTCACTGGTCCAGGACAATCAGAATGATGACAGAAGAGGGTCCCAAGTCCACAGAAGATATCCTGGAGGAGGCTGGGGTATTGGGAGTAGGAAAAAAGATACATGATACTGCTAAGGTATTATACTGATATATTGACAAGACAGACAAATGAAAGACACACTGGCCCAGGATGGGGGGAGACAATGGGTGCAGCTCAGGGACAGCCCTCTGACTAAATCTTGTCATGAGCAAGGAACGTGAGCTGATGAGGCGGGAACCGTGTGTGGGTACCTGAGGCGTTGGTGCGAATGTACAAGATCTCGCTCTTGGCCCCACGGATGTGGTCATTCTCCACCATGGTGAGGGTCACGGCCTTGACGTAAACGGCGTACTGTGTCCAGGGCTTCAGCCCGTGCAGCAAGATGCCGGGCTCCACGTCCTTGTTGGGCGGCAGGTCCACGTCCACCATGTTCCAGCTGTTGGAGCCGCAGGCGTCCTGCCCATCATACTCCGTGACGTTTTTAAAGGGGCTGAAACACAGTCAGCGGAGCTCAGACAGTGCCTTATGGTGCTGACGTCGAAGCTCTAAGAAACCTCCCCAGGGGGCTCCCTGCCACTTTCCATAATGGGGATTCTAGGTAAAACACATCAGCAGTTAGATCCTTACAGAATCAAAGTGAGCTACCAGACTCCAGGTTTCACTTGGTTCTCTATATACTAAAGAATCAAATCCTCTGCCCCAGGAAGAGTAAGTTCTGTAATTACTGGGATTGGAAACACTGCTCCTGAAGAGTATATACAAATACTCTTTCTCTCTCTTCCCACTGCGGCATTTTTTTTCCACCATAAAGAAAAAACAAGGGCAGTCACTTAATGCAAACATCAGTTATTGATAAAGAATAAGAACTTCTGGAGGAAAATGCCTTTGCCACAGAAAAACAGCTTCTCAAAATACAGCCTCCAAAATCTAATTTGCTCACAAACAATTCTGACTGCTTTAGTATTTTTATCACATTCAAATATTTAGTTTCCAGATTATCTCGGACACTAACGTCAACCACTTGGTGAAAGTGCCAGCCAACCCTGCCAGAGCACTGGTAGGACTGTCAAAGAGGATGGTGGTTCTGCACAGACGCGGAGCTGGGCAGGGATCCCATGCCCCTCAGATGGTAGGGCTGGACAGCCACTGGTTTCTGAAACCAACACTCACACACTCCTCCCTGTCGTCGTGTGTCGAGTGGCTCCCAAGTGCAGGGACACGGAATGCCTGAGAATCCTGCATCTGGACTTTCTCGTGGCTCCAGCACTCCCAGGGCCCCAGCTGGGGCAGGGGAAAGGGTACCAGATGCTGCCACCATGGCTCTGGCTCCAGCTCCAGGGAAGCCAGGCGCCCGGGAGAGGGCCCTATGGCATGTGAAGAGGGTGACTAAGAGGCCCGGGCAACCACCTGGGCACAGAGGCACCGGAAGGAAGGAGTGGACCAAGAAGACATCCCTGACATCAGGAGATGTGCTGGCTGCCCGGGCAGGCAGGTGTCCCCTAAAGGACAAGAAATGCCCCTGGCAGATTCTGGGAGAGATCCTGAAAGGTTCGCAACATGGAGATCAGTCTCCATTCTCCATCCCTTGTTTGGAGGGCTTACGCTCTACAGCGGAGGGGCACATCTGGGTTGGGGCCACGGAGAGTGACGGGGCTAGACGACGGACTCGTCTGAGAGACACCTCAAGGGGGGCTGGGCACCCCGATTCGGGTGTCCCTGGACTATGGGTGAGTGCACCAAGGCTGCAATGATGCCGCGACCACACGCTCCATCCCAGCTTGTGAATGCTTGCACTGACCTGAGTCACAAAGTTAAGTTTTTCCCTTTAGACTTTTTTTATCCAAGCACCCCTAAGCACCCGCTGACGAAGGAAGGCCGTTGAGAAAACACGTTTCCGTTTACAGCTGTCACTGGGGGTCGTGGCCGTCACCGGACAGCGCGGGTAGGGGGAGGAGGAAGCCCCGCCCACAGAGTGACGTCACAGCGCAGACACTCACGCTTCCTTGTAGTAGACGGTGAAGCTGATGAGGTCCCGGTAGTCGGGGGGCCGGTACCGGTGCCAGGTGATGATGATCCGGTTCTTCCACGTGGTGGTGGAGGTGAAGTGCAGGACGTCACTTTCACCTGGGGCAGAGGCACACCGTGAGGGACAGCGATCCCCGCCCTCCCCTCCCACGTGCCCGCGGGCTCACCACGGCCCTCTCCCCTGAAGCTGGCTGTGCCTGCAAAGCCCCTGTTTGAATGTCTCAGTGACTCTGCTGTTTCCACTAAGGACCCAAACACTGCACTACAGGGCCTGCAAGGGGCTCAGTCCTTTGTTTTCGTTTACGCGGGGCCCTGGATGTGAACTTGTGAGCGATTCTTAATAACCTAGGACTGCTGGCTGCAGCAAGGGAGCTTGTCTCTCTGCCCCTGCCTGAGATGTGGGCCGCCGAGGGGGCTGGGGAGCGTGAGTGGACCTTGACGCATGTCTTCTTAGACATGGTGACACCCGTCTCAACACTGTGGATCTGCTTGGTCGCGTCTGTAATGGGGCAGGTGTGCCACGAGAGGGGAACGTTTCTTAGTCTGAACTTGGTATCAACACCTTCCTGCGCAACACCTCCAGGAACTCCCTGGAGGCTCCGGCAGTGCCGACGCGTAGCAGGGAATGGACTGAGCACTGACTGAGCCCACCTCGCTGGACACGGCTCCCGTCCTCGTGGGAGGAAGCCTGGGCCCGTGAGCACCACAGGGACGCTGTCCCAAGTCCCCTCGTGCTCCCTGGCCAGATTCAAACTGATGGGGACTCGGGGAGGGCTGCTGAAGCCGCCGGGGCCGAGAACCGAGCTCTCCTCTGAACTTTTTCCCTACCGGAGTCCCACCCCCCGCACCCTAGGGAGGTGAAGCAGAGGCCAGCAATAGTTATAAACCAAGATGTCTGTGGGGCAAAACGTGATGGATTGAGATGGAAAAGATGCTGCAGTTTCTGCTAAAATGTTATTCAGAGAGCAAACATGATTTTTCTTTTTTCCCCAAAAGAAAATAAATGGCTACTGTATTCATGATCCGACAGGTCAGACTGGCTGACTCTGAGCAGAAAAACACTTTGACAGAGCTAAGCGACATCCACTTTGCGATGGTCTAAACAGGAGCGTGGCGAGGGGGGTGTGGGGCGCACAGGGAGAAGGCCCTCCAGCTCTGTGTCGGGTTTCTCTCCTCTAAAATCCCTTCCTGGGCAACTGGAGAGTCTACGGAGTGAATCCAGAGCCCACAAAACGGAGTCCAGTTCTGCCGGTCTCTAAGATTCTCTCCCGCCTGTGTGCGCGTGGGCAAACCACCCCGGATCACAGGGCTTAGTCTATGGTTTCCCCATACTATCCCTATCAAAAGCTGATGGTGGAGAGACAATTTACTTTCATAACTTGATCCAGCCACACAGAAGCACACCGTTTTTGAAAGCAGTTTTACATACAGGGTTAGGTGAGAAACTCACTGCTCAGAGGCAAAACCTTCAAGCAGAAGTCATATAACCAATATAAGATTATACTGTTCTAAACTTAAAAAGCAGTATCAATTCAGGGAGGCAGTCTCTCTCCATTTTTCATGCTGTGGTGGGACCAGGATCCGGGTCAGGGGCCCAAGGCCACAGGGGCTGCAGCTGAGGCCCCCTGACCTCAGACCTCCCTTCCACCCCAGGGACTCAGGGCCAGGCTCACTCCCTCCCAGCACTGAAGGGACCATCTCTCCCCTCGAAAACAATCCAATGGTGTGCGTGAGCATAGAAGATGCTTAACTCGGTATATTCTGAAAGCACCCCTTTAAAATCTGAGTGAGAACCCATTTATAAATGTTTATACACAGATACGAATCTGCCTCACTACTGCCTTTGAAGCTGTCCACGTGTTGGTTTAAGAGGCCTGCATGAAGCGAGGAGGGGCCACGAACAGAAGCCACCGCGCGGTGTGGGAGGGCGCACTCACAGGAGGCTCGCTCCCCATTGTTCCTGGTGTTTATGTCCCCTTTGCTCTGGCGCCCTTTCGTCCCCGTCACTTCCTCCATGCGGTAAATCTCCGAGACACACAATTTGGGATTGAACGCAAAGTACATTTTCCCAGCTTTGATGGTCAGGTTGCGGTGGTCCCAGTCCCACAGCTGCTGCAAGTTCTGGTTGTCAAGGACGTAGAAGGAGTAGTTCCTGGAAGCAGAGAGATCAGCATCAGACCATTATCCTTTGCCTCCAGCCACCCTGCTCTGGGGCTCTTTGCCACGTGGCTCCAGAAAACACCGCCTCTGCCGATCAGAGATGGAATTTTTAACAGTATCTAAGAAGAGTCCCTGTTAACAACAGCAACAATATGATTCAAGGATAATGTCAAAACAGATAAAACACTAATTTGATGACCCCGATTATGCTTCTCACACTAGAGGCTGCTTACTCAAATCATTCTCTAGAAACGCCTCTGGTTATTTCTCTCAAGCAGAGTATGTACAACGCACTTGAAATCAGTCCACGGGAGAACAGATATGCTCTGCTACTCAACCGGAACAGCTTACATATTTGCTGTAGAAAGCCTGCCATTATCCTCAGAGTTAAATCCCATCCCATCCCCTCCATGCAGCTCAGCAGGTAGGAGAGAGAATGGGACTGGGAAATGAGTCAGTTCCTCCTCCAGACGCACCCCACCCTGAAAAGTCTCAGCTCTGGTCACTGGAGAAGGTGGCGGAGGAGAAATGGCCCGAGGGGCGACCCCCCAGGCCACCCATCCAGGCGACAGCAACTTGGTGTCCAACAAGTTCAGGGCGCACAAAGCTGATTTTCAGAGGGCTGGGCCCTCCTGCCCTGGGGGTTTACCCTGAGCAGGTCTGGGGGGTTGAGGATCTGCATTTTTAACCAGCACTCAGGGGACGCGGACGCTGTACGTGCTGGGACCACACCTGGAGAGGCACTGGTCTAACAGGTGCTGAAGGGGCGGGGGTCCAAAGCTGACCAACTGAGACGTCCACCCTGGCGGGTGGGCACAGAGCGGCAGCCACGGCCACCTCTGAAGGCGAGGCAGGGGACAGCCAGCATCGGCAGCAGCTAGCCCGCCTCCCCTAGAAAATGCCCACCTTGGGACGGCAGGAGAGCGGACAGCTGCAGCCCGCGGTCCGCACGCATCCATACACCAGGCGGGCAGGGTCACCGCGCACCGCAGACTTCAGACTGTCCCCTTCCTGCCTCCCACCCCAGCTTGGTCCCGTCTGGGGTTCGCTCCAGCGCCCTCTACAAAACTGAGTCTAGGCACTGGTGCCCCCTTGTGTGGGTTTCCAAGATCCACTCAGGGATCCAGCACACACACAGAGAAGGACAGACCCCGGCCCCCTTCCCAGAGCCGGGACAGACCAGACGGAAGCCGGGAGCGCTCCTGTGCCCTGGGGAGGTTCAGGCCTCTACCTGCCAGTCAGTCCATAGGGTGAGCTACACGGAAGCCTGGGTCCCGCCTGTACGTCTCCCCGGGAGTTCCCGGGCATTCCCAGACGGGGTCCAGGACGAGCGGTGCCGTCCACAAGCTGCGCGCGTGCACGCGGGTCCTCAGCTCCTCTGTGGTTCCGTCCATTCACTCACGGGGCAGCAGGCGGAGGAACAGCGTCACCCGAGCACCCTGCGGGTCGTGGGGCCCAGAAGGAGCCGCTGCATCGAGGGGGTCCTGCCCCCGGCCCGATAGCCCAGCCCTTCAAGAGCCCTGGGCTGCACCCCGTGGGGGCCGGGGAGGGAGGGGCACAGTGAGCCCGCGGGCCCGAAGGCAGCAGCTCGGGAGCCAAGAGGGGCTCCTCTCAGACCTACCCAAGGCCTCAGATTCATCCAGGGCCACCAAGTCAGGCGGCAGAAGTGGGCAGGCCAACAAATCCTTTCCTTTCACCGAGAGCTTGCGCCCCAGCATAGGAATATGCTGGAAAATGTGCAAAGGACATACTGTCCAAAGGAACCGAGGCTCAGGCTAGGCACTGCAGGGCCACGTGAGGGGACCAGGCTGCTGGGGCTGCTCCCCGGAGGAGGGGTGTCCGCAGGTGGAGACAGATGCCTCGGGCCATCCCTGCCCTCAGGCTAGTCCCAGCTCTGAAGGACGCTCAGAGGTGTCAACACAAACCCTGTGGGCCTGGCGGCTCCCAGGTGCCCAAGTCATAACTTTGAGGGACAAATTCTCCTTGGTTTCCGAAACCTCTGAGCCCGGAGTGAAGGCCAGTTACCCAGGTCAAACTTCTGGCTCAACCTAGGATGAGGCTTTTATTTTAGTAAACTAATTTCACTAGCAGGGAACATAACCCTACCGAAAATACCTCTGAACAAAACATCTTCTCCCCAGGGGAGGGAGCATGAATTATAAATCAGAAATTTGACAAATGAATGGCAGGCACACTGGAATTCTGCGTATGTGATTAATCACTTTGAAAAGCAAGATTATCTTTTTACAGTAAACATAAACATTTTCTTTATTTTTACAACACTGAGAAGGCCTGGAGCCAGGATACCAACCAATATCAATAAAACCCGGTCGTTATGGAGCCAGAGTAGTGACAGGAAATAAAAATAAAACCCTCATCACAATAATAACCAAGCCATTCATGAGCTGCTTGTCAATACTGTTCTTGTTTTCCCAACCCCAGCTGGCGCCCCGCTGTCCTCACATTCCTTCCAAGATCAGGTGAGGATTAAGAGGTGGGAAAAGGCAGAAACTTGTCTGCACATCTTCAACACACATAAACACAGTTAGATTTTACTGTTTCCTAAAGGAATGGGCTGTTTAACTCAATTGTTCTGTAAATGTGATTTCCTAATTGTTTCTAAGATGTCTGCCTTTACATTCAAAATGTATTTTTAAAAACTATCTGGTTATTTTTCTGTCCCTTACACAGACTCCATGGTGCCTGGATTTTATCTGTGTTACCGTCCTTTCCCCAGCTCTTCTTAAGGTTGCAAAAAATGTTTGTTCCTATGCTTAGGGTGGGTCCCATCTGCCAAAATGTAGATCACCGTGGGAGGCTATCTCCTTGAGGACATCTATGTATCACCTGCATCAACATTCTAAATGCCCAGCACATATTGTACCCCTGTCTTATTTATGGCTCCAGACTCAGGGCTGTCTTACCTCTGAGTTGTCAACACCACCACCTCCCTCCCTGCTCAGATGAAGGGCAGGAAGGGCCGGGAAGCAGAGGAAGGCAAAGTGCTGGGGATTCTCCTTGTACTTAGAAGACAACGCCAGGTCTAGGGCTGGAACGTCATCTCCAGTCTCACTAGGCAGCAACTCTAGACAAAGCATTTCTTCAGCTTCTCCCCAGCTGGGACAGATGGGGCTGGGGGGGGGGGGGTAGGAAGGAACACTCTCCCCCTTTCCAAACTTCACTGACAGACTGGAAAAAAGCAATCACCATTCCCTTTATTTCTCAGAGAAAAAAACCAACAGCCTCTTCCCTGCGGTCCCTAGGGGGCGTCAGAACCCAGCACATGCAGGCCGTCTCCAGCACTCTGCAGTGGATGGAGGGCTTGGTCTTTGTACAGAGGCTGCCTCTAATCCGTCTGCAACAGACTGCTTTAGGCCACGTCCAAATCTCCCCCCGAAGTTCAATATTTACACCAGCCTTGGGGGTTCAGCAAGGGTAGGAATTTATATTCACATGTCTCTAGAACCAAACAGATACTCTAAAAATGTTTCCTCTTTGAGTGTTTTAAAAACAGCTTTACTGAGGTATAATTTATCTACCAAGAAAATTTACTCACTGTAAGTTTTTCCAGTTCCGGGAGCTCAGCAAACCCACACAGGGGTCCAGCCATCCCCACGAGGCAGTGTCGGAGCCTCTCCACCCCTCCTCACTCTCAGCACTTCCAAAGCTCTGCATTCCCAGTGGTGCGCAACCTCTGATTCCACCCCCAGCCCTTCGCGGTTTTCTGTCTCCACAGTTTTGCCTTTTCCAGAAATCACCCATTAATGGAATCGTACAATGTGGAGTCTCTCGTGTCTGGCTTTTTTTCACTTAACCTGATGTTTTTGAGGTTCACTCATGCTGTGACATTATTGTCGGGCAGTAACCCATTGTGCCACGTTTTATTTATCTGCTCCTCTGCTGATGGACATCTGGATTGCTTCCAGTGGGGCCTTTATTTGCTGGGGGGGGGGGGGGGGATTCATGAATAATACTCCTATGAGCAATCCTGTACGAGTCTTGTGGGGGCATGTTTTCGTTTCTCTTGGGTAGATACTGGGGTAGATCCTGGAACTGCTGAGTCACATGTCTGACTGTACATTTTTTGGAAGTGCCAAAGAAGTGTTAAAGTATAGCCATGATGCAACCTAATCTTAGAGTTGCAAGAAGATAGAATAAAGCACAAAGTGTTGCACAGCCAATTGGTAGAGACATGAGCAGAGACGCCTGACTGCATCCAAGACTCCGATCCTTATAACCCACCACCTCCGTCTAACTCTCATTCTTTTCAGGGCAACTATCCTTGGTGGCACCAACAAATCTGAAATTTTAACTCATTTATCTGATGCTATCACAAAACAGGGTTGTTCAGAATCAGGGAATTTTTTCAGATAACAGAAATATCTTCTTTTTCAAGGGCTTACAAATTAGCCATTTCATAGAAATCTTGTACGTGTGTACTCCAAAATCCACTTCCTTCCAAAATAGCAGAACTTTGGTCTTAATGTCAAAGGTTACTACTCCAGAAACACATCACCTTACACAGAGTGATGTCCTCAAGGAAGCACTGGCCATCTGAATTTTGCTGGCTTACCTTTAGACCACCTATGTTGTCTGGCCCCTTTCTCCGGAGCCAAGCAGCCCTGCTGCCTGTTCCCACTTGATTTTGCCCTGTGTCCATCGTGGTCCTGGACATCAGATTCTAGAATCAGCTCACTCAGAGTGAGGACTAAGAGGTCTACCCCAGGTAATGTTCTTGAATTTCATATTCTGGACTTGACTTTGCAGTCTGGGCTATTCAGGAGACATTTGGGGACTGGTCTCCGTTCCAATTTGGAAAGCAAAGGGTGACACATAAAAAGGATTTATGTGCTACCAATTTGTCTGTTCAGCATCAAAACAAAAAGCTATAAAACTTTCTTCCCACTGGACCAAGTGGAAGCACTTATTTGGTCATGAGAGGTATAAGAAAAATCATACTTTAAGACAGCAGTGTGACAAGAAAATATCTAGGCAAAAAATCAAAGTGTTTCGGGGACATGCTTATGAAGAAGAAGAAATAGGGGTAAAACAGTGGTTTCCAATTTGGCCACACACTGAAATTACCTGGCAATCTTTAGAAAAGTACCGATGCTCGGATCCCACCCCTAAACGTTCTGACTGAATTGGGATGGAGTGCAACTTGGGCATCAGGATTCCTAAAAGACCCCCGGATGACTCTTATGTATAGCAAAGTGTGGGAACCCCTGGGGCAAAAGTCATCTTGGCTTATAGCAAAAGCACTTGGAAGTGAAAGGTTCTACTAACACTCTGGTAACTCAAACGTCCTGAAGAGGTTCCACTGCCTATCCAAATTATAACCTCCACACCTGGGTGCATAACAGCTTACGTAATCCTAATACCACCTACCTCTCCAGCATTTTTTGCCAAACAGGTCCCAGGACGCCCCAGCTCGTTGCCTCTGCTGCTGCCGTCCTGTCCTGAAACGCCTTTCTTCACCCTCTGCTCGCTGAGCATTTCCGGAAACCCTCCAAGGCCCATCTCCAAAGCCAGCTCTTCTCAGAAGCCCGTGTGATCTTTCTTAATCAGATATCTGACTCTTTTTCATGCCCATGGCATGTGCCTTTTCTTTCCCTGTGGCACTCTGCAAACTTCACTCAGCACTGCTGGCATTTATCTACTTAGCATCTTCCTTTCTTTTCTGCTTCCTTTGAACTCTTCCTTTTTCTTTCTTTTTTAAGGTTTGAGTGGAAGATTGGCTTTTTTTAAAGCTGATTTTGCATTCTTTATAGCTTTAGGTGTACATATACTGATTCATAGTTTTTACAGTTCACTTTTTTTTTGGCCATACCACGTGGCTTGTGGGATCTTAATTCCGTGACCAGGGATCGAAGAAACTGCATCCCCTGTATTGCAAGGTATGCCCTGTATTCCTAACCACTGGACCAATGGAAGTCCCCACAACTTTTAAAGGTTATACTCCATTTGTAGTTACTATAAAACATCAGCTATGTTCCCCGTGTTGTACATTTTATCCCTGTAGCTTATTTTATACAGAATAGTTTGTACCTCCTACTCTCCTATCCCTAAGGTCCCCACCCCTCTTCCTCCTCTGCTGGTAACCACTCATTTGTCCTCTGTATCTGTGTGACTCTTCTTATAAGGGTGAGGGGAGCAGGTGAAGGGGCTGGACCTAACCTCCTTCCTAAGCCTGAGGAGGAGAAATACAGAATTGAGTCGCCACTGGTCACACCTGACCCAAAGCCAGCTGCACGGGCACTTATCACAAGCAAGGTTACGACCCAGACCATTTTGGTCATGGGTGAGGAAGGCAATCAAAGGAACACAGCTCTCGGGAAAAGAGGCTAGGTTCTCAAGTGCTCCAGCTAAAGGGAAAGCCTCTCAGCAATGGCAGGAAGAAATCCAAGGCTAGAAGCTCAGCCTCCTCAGAGTTACCAGGGCTACTGGTAGACGATCAGCAGGCTCACCACTGCCATCCTCACCGCTGCCATCCCCTGACAAATGAAGTACTAAGAACAGGGGAGACCTGAAGCTTCGCTGGGCCTGGAAGTGGCCCAGACACCTAAGAGACGACATGCATCTGTAAGAAGACCCCACTGGGGCTTTGGGCTTTACACAAGCTTCAGGTAATAAGAAATACATCATAAATATTTTTGCAAATAAAAATCACACTTTAATTTTCAGCTACACGTGAGTGCATAATACTTTCAGTTAACACACAACTTGATAGGTAATCATGTTATGTAATAATTCCTAATAAAAATTAATTAAACTCTCCTGGTAGCTCTCCCCTCTATATGTATCACTTGCTCAACCTGTGGGGGGGCGGGGGGAGTGTATCCTCAAGCAGAAGGAAAACCTGCATGTACCAATACGCTAAAGAAGAGGTGCTTACCATCACCAGAGTTTCCAGAAAAACCTACTTGGAGGAAAAGGAAAAACAGCTGTCCTAAAATTCATTTTAAAATTTACTACAACCAACAATTACCATCACCTCAAACTGGAAGAGCCTCGGCTTGCTATGTTGGTGACCTGGGACATTGGGCTGAGCACAGCGGCAGCCTTGGTGGATTCACCAGGAGAAGGACATTTTTCGAAAGAATCAGGGTTCCCAGCGGGGAGGACACTGTGCTTTTCAAGGATGGAATGAAGTGCTGCCCCCTCTCTCTGGCTGTATCAGATGATGGAATTTTAAGAATTTAAGACTGACCAAGAGTGAGTCTGAGAAAAGCAGGAAGGCTGTAAGGAAACCCTTATGTGGTAACTTTATCCATCGGGGCACATAAATCAGCAAAGACAACCTTTCTCATGACCTTCCCATCTCTTGCTTTCCTAAATTATTCCCCCAAATTCTCTTTAGAAGGAGTCAACTCATTAATGGATGTCTCCTTTTATTTCGAAGCATTAGCTTAAAGCCAGGCAAGAATTATATTTAATGGGGCGCGTGTGAAGAGAAGCGCGTGTACACAGGAACACCCGGGGTGAATGCGGGGGGAAGCTGCCCTTGTGTGCGCAGCGATCCAAGCACCCACTTTCATTCCTCAAGCGGCGAAGGGCCTCAGGCGAGGCTAAAACCCTTATCACAAAGCACATCTCTGCAGAAGGCAGACGTTCCATCAGTAGGGCAAATCCTATGGGCTGATCAATAGAAACAATTCTGTGAATCAAGATTTCTTTGTAACAAAATGAACTGTTCAGACGCCTCCAAATCTCTGGCGTTCCAACACATCTGAAAAGATGGACTAGCTTTTACGTAGTGGATCACAGCATCCCGAGGGAGACAAGGGGCCCGGGACGAGGCGAGCCGTTCAGCCCCCTCTCTGCGCTTTTGGTCCCGGCCACGTCCCTGTCTGCAGCTCTGCCAGCCACAGGCAGACACCCGACCCCATGGGTCACGACCCAGGAGCGAGGATGGAGAATCCTGACTGCAGGAGACTCCCCGCTAGGAGGCGGCGCGGGCACTGCCGCTTCTTTTTAATGAGAAAACCTTAAAGGCAGCGCGCGGACCCGCCGAGCGGCGGGAGAGCGTCAGCTGCGGCCACGCGGAGCTCTTACCCCTCCAGCTGCTCCTCCCCCAGGATCTGGCGCAGGTTCTTCAGGAAGGATAAGGAGACCAAGGCATGGGAGTGGCGGATCTTCACGTAGCCCGTCACCACCTCGATGAGCCCCATGAAGTTCTCCAGTTCCGAAGCGATGTTGTCTGTGGTAGGGGGACAGGGTTAGTGCGCGCCACAGACCCGTGTGGACAGCATTTCAGCTCAGGTCTTGTTTCCCTGGCGCCCCTGAGACGCGAGGCCTCCCAGGATCCCTGCCCTTTGTCAAAAACGTTTTTCCCTAAGCCTGGCTTTCAACTCCCGTCGCCTGGGATGGGCCCCCGAGGCGGGGGGAGGGCAGTTTCTAGAAGGCTGAGGACTGCAGCTCCCAGGCTGATTAACAGAATGTAAAATCGTAAACACCAGACTGCCAATTAGCTGAGGCGGACACATCCAGGGAACATCTCTAATATGCTCTGTCAACAGCACTGCCTCCACAGTAGAAGGGCATGACTAAACAATGTTTTCTCCGTCTCACTAGGAACTGCTTCTGCTGCATTCCTAGTTCCTAAGATACAATGATCTATATTTAAAGACTCCATCATACTAAGACTGCAAGAAAATGCACCAAAATATTAACACTGGTTATTGGCAGGTAATTTTCAATAATTTACTTCTATGCGTCAATTTTCTAATGCACACACATGATTCTCACAGGTGGAAAAGAGTTGGGAACATCATTGCTAACACATGTGCAAAAATGACAAGATGTATGAACAATGTATTTTCTTCACTCTTACAGCCTTTTTCTCATAGTAAATAAAAAGCATAAACTTCAGTTCAACTTATGCCAAAATTACAAGGCACACTATAATGAACTGGATGTGATTCAACCAATGGAATTGTACTGTGTATGACCTGTGAAGGCATAGTTAATAAAAGGTTCTGTTTTGCTTTCAACTGATAAACATCAAAGAATACAGGTACATAGGCAAGGCCCTATGTTTCTGTACAGTGTGACGGTTTTCCAAGAGAAATGGAGAAATTCAAGTTGTAAAGACTAGCGGTTGCCTCCAGTTAATGTTTCAGGGAAAAGATTCTGAATTAAACATGTGGCGGGACTCACGACTTTCGGTCAAGGCTGAGGAGGGGCCTTTCCAATAAGATGTCCAACCAATCTCCTGCAGTGGACATGAACTGGAAGCCACACTGCATGATCACACACCGATATGTACCAGTTCCTCCTCAAACTATATAGTAAACTATACTTCCTGATTCATGGATCAAAGTTTTTAAAAAATATTTTGAGGATGCATGTGTGCATGCTCATTCAGTCACAACTTTGCGACCCCATGGACTCTATCTAGCTCACTAGGTTACTCTGCCCATGGGATTTCCCAGGCAAGAATCTTGGAGTGGGTTGTCATTTCCTTCTCCTATTCTGAGGACAGAAATATGAAAATAAAAGAAGGGTTAGGCACTTAAGGCTTTCTTGGTGGCTCAGACAGTAAAGAATCTGCCTGCAATGCAGGAGACCTCGGTTCGATCCCTGGATTGGGAAGATACCCTGGAGAAGGGAATGGCAACCCACTCCAGTATTTTTGCCTGGACAATTCAACAGACTGAAGAGCTGGTGAGCTATGGTCCATGGGGTCACAAAGACTTGGACAAAACTGAGAGACTAACACTCTTAGGCACTTAAAGGGTACGTTCTAGGAAATGAGGAACTCTATTTGAGAAATTAGGAAATCTAGTAAGAGCACAAAGACTAAAACTTCAGAATACCATGAAAGTCATAAAATTCTAGCTGCGTGGAAATAAAGTTATCTCTGTTGTGAAGGGGTGAAAGGTGTTGTGAAAATCAAGGGCTATCCAAAATTCAAAAAAACTAAGCAGAAATCTTGATGCTGTCATCTCTAAATCCTAAGATTAGCACTCACTCACTGCACAAACAGTATCAATATTAAGGGAAAGTAAATGCACAGAATGCTGTGTGCTGTGCTGAGCCGCTCAGTCGCGTCTGACTCTGGGTGACTCCATGGACTGGATCCCACCAGGCTCTTCTGTCCATGGGATTCTCCAGGCCAGAATACTGGAGTGTATTGCCATGCCCTTCTCCAGGGGATCTTCCCTACCCAGGGATGGAACCCAGGTCTCCCGCATTGCAGGCAGATTCTTTACCATCTGAGCCACCAGGGAAGCCCCTCAAACCATATAATTTTTTTTTTTAAGAATTTAGGAAAAAAGTCCCTTTCAACCTCAACACCTTCTTACTATATTTCTTCTAGCTTAGGAAACTATCAGTACCTTCATTAAGTGGTTCCAGTGGCAGAGAATTTAAGGCACCATTACTAGAAACCTTTGTCAATTACAGATCAGAACTGAAAATATCACCAAATAAGTCCACCGGAAATGCTTCACACATGCAATTGTCCAGAACACCATCTACTGCAAATAGTGGGGAATCCTACAGAGGGTGGGGAGACTGAAGCTTCAAATGCATGCTGACATACATATCCTTGTATCTCTCTTGGTTCTCAGAAGTAAACTTGGGAGATGGGCCAGTTTTGGACTGAATAAAACTTTAAACTGATATCATTAAACCCCTCCCTTGCTCAGTCTCTTCCACATATCCAAGTAACCAAGACTCTCTGGACTTAAAGCTCTGAGGCCTTGGCTCTGGCTGGAGTCTGCTGAGTCACACCTCTGATCCATCCGTCTCTCCTGGGGTTTGGATGTGTTGAGACATGCATATCCTGCATAAGATGTGACTTAAGAGAGATGAGGGCTGACCCTGTGCAGAAATAAACGCTGTGCCCGTGGCTAAAATGCCACCTGCCTTTCAATCTCTCACTCTCTCTTTTTTTAATCTTTGAAGGAAGCTCAAAGCAGGGGCACTGAGCACGTGGCTTATGCACCATGTTGTTTTTCTACGCCCATAGTTTAGTTGTGAGTCACGGACGAGAAGGGAAAGCTCAACAAAAGAAAACCAGGAGGTCTGGCCCTCTCTTCCAGGAAGAGGGAATACTCACTGCCGCGTCGGATGTTGATGAGCAGATTGCCTTTGAAGATGGTGCATCCTTGGAGCATCTGAGCAGAAGTGACAGAATCAATGGTCTTCGTCTTCTTTTCTTCCTCACACACTTTGGGACAAGGGCCTTCGCAAGGGATGCAGTACATGCTGTTGAAAATAAAACCACCCAACACACTGAGAGCTGAGTCTGTCTTCCTGAATTAGAAAAATTCTCAAAAGATGTGCTTTTAATCCAGGTGTCTTTACTGTCCACATTACAGAAAGCAACTGGCAGAAGCATTCGAGCGGTCATACTGTTTCTCATTCCCAAGCCTGCCCAGGGTAAGCCACTCAAACGGCAATGCAAAGGAGAAACTGACTACAAAGGAAAAGTGTGCTGCCTATTTCCAGACAAAACACATGATACACCCTTGAGGCATGTGTGTGTCATAGGCTGGGGCTGGTGAGCCAGCTGGTCCCATGTGCGAGAAACAGCCTTGCACAAGGGAGACACCAGGGGATCCCAAGAAGAACAGAGCTGCTCTCTGAGGTCATGGGCCCTGCTGGCGTACCCGGAGGAGCCACTGGGAGAGTGGACGGGGACACCGAAGGGACAGCAGTGTCCCCGCTGCTGACAGGAAGCTAACTCCTGCAGCCGGCTGCCCAGGGGGGGGATTCCAAAAGGCACGTGCTGTAGCACAGATCCATTATTTTCTTGCTAAAGCACAACTGAAATAATTTCTTGACAGCGTTTGGCAGAAACTTGTAAATTGATCCAAATGTTGTTTTTGCTGCATACACAATAAAAACAGGAACTTCCACTGCTTTGTAATGAGCTCCTATTTCACACGCAATCTTGAACATGCCACAAACCCAGCAACAGCCAGGGACTAGCGAGTGACCTTGGTACTTTTCCTTATTTAGGGAACAGCAGACAAAACACGACTCCAACTCTCTGAACCACAGAAAGCTGGGTCAATTTCCAAACTAAATAAATGATACAACATTATGGGATGTGTGTGTAATACGATGGTGAACTGGAGAGCCACTACATTTACATGATTATTCTTGAATGATCTTTCAAATTTCATGAAGATAAGTGAGAAACATCCAGGAAAGCAGTGTAAGTTAAAGCTCTAAGCATTAAGTACCGCCCTCCATCACTGAACTTTACTGCATATCTAAGGCAAAGATGAAGGGCTTTGTTTAAAAGCTTATAGACAAATACAATTTCCCCACTGTTTCCTTATTTCACGTTGGGAGAACAGGAGGGAAGGTTTCCAGAGGAAATGGGCCGACCATAGTGACAGAGGTTTCCCCTTTCTCTGACATCACAACACTTTCACTTCTAGAGACTGCAGCAGCTTTTCCTCAGCATTCCTTGTTGATCTTTTATTGCTTCTACCTTACCTACATACCATCTAATACCCCACCTCCCTTTTTAAAAACTTGGTGTGAAATAATTACAGACACACAGAAAATTACAAAAATAGTACAGACGGGTTCTGTGTACCCTTCACCCAGTTCCCTCTGATGGCACCATCCTACAACACGATGGCGCGGCATCCAGCCTAGGAAACTGACACAGGCACGATGCCCGCGTGCACTTCCACGTCCCCTCATCACCTGAGTGATCACTGCAGTGAGCCGGCCCGCCCCCACCAGCATCTCCCGTGTGCTGCCCGTTCCGTCATCCTGCACCCATGTCTCTAACTTGGGGCCGCCACTCCCCTATTCTCCACGTCGGTAATGGTGTTATTTTCAGAATCTTATATAAATGCAATCATCAGGTGTGTGACCTTGTGACTGGTCTGTTTTTTTTTTTTACACAGCATAATGTCCTTGAGATCCATCCATGTTGTGTGTGTCTGAATAGTTTGTTTCTTTTTATTGCTGACTGATATTCCAAGGTGTGCTGGATCACGGTTTGCTTGGCCATTTACCTATTGTGGAGCATCTGTGCTATTTCCAGGCTGTGGCTCTTACAGCTGCTACCGACGGCTGTGCACATGCCTTTGTGGGAACTCAAGTCTTCATCTCTCTGGAGTAAATGCTCAGGGGGATAACTTCTGGGCTGTAGGTTAAATGTATGTTTTCTTCCCCTGACATTTTATTCAAATAGCAATTTCTGAGCCAAACACCTTTCTTAAAATGTCTAGGAATCAGCTAGTACTTTAAAAAATGTTATTCTAAGGAAGTGCTCTGATTGCATGTTTATAGTTTAAGCTTCCTCAAACCCATTCTGCTACAGAGAGGGTATAAACAGTATTAAAAATAAGTATTTTAAATAAGTGTCAAAGAGGCCTTAAAGCCTGAGGAGGGGGTTGTTATTAGTTCTTGATGGTGTTTTCTTTTAAAGTGAAAAAGGCAGTATCTATAGCTTTGAAGTGACTGCGAGCATGAGTAGGAAAAATAAGAGCTTAATTCTTCAAAGGATGAATTCCAGTAGAAGAAGCTGTCACAGAGCACAGAGCCCCCTACTTCACCCACGACTCTGGCAGCTGCAAACGACGGAATGCCTCCAGCATCAAAAGGAACACACCGGCAGGGCAAAGAAGCCACGAGCCCCCTGGCCATGCATCAACTGCCCCATCTCAGCCCCCAGCCCGGGGAGGAACTGTGTCGGTGGCGATTTTGTGGCTAAAGTCGTGTCTGAGTCCTGTGAGTCTGGACAGGAACTGTGGTGGAGCCTGAACTGGGTTCCAGGCACTGCCCAGGGCCTGGCAAAGCCTTTTTAAGTTCTAGGGCTGCCAATAAAATGTGAGCAAAATGTGGCAGATTTATTTTGGGTGGAATATATATACTCCACAATTCACCAGTATCCTTGGCACATTTACCATTTTAAAGTATTTAGAGTAATTTTTACTATTACAGTCGCTACAGAAATGATGACAGGTAGAGTGTTCTACATTTAATACTATGAAATAACGTGAGCGTTATCTCTGATTTGAAGTTAAGCCTATGGAAGCAGCAACATCTCCAAATATTACACTGGAAACAGATGCCCCTTACCAAGACTTGCTTGATGAGGTTTGCAGAAACAAGGCAGCAAGCAGAAGGGAAATTACACATTACACTCAAAATGAAGATTTCCTTTTCCAGCGGTACTGTATATTTGTAAAATAGCTTTATTTTTTAAAAACCTGAAATGGAAGGCTCCTCTGGCGTAGTCACGAAGCAGGCATTTTTAGTCCATTCCATCAGAAGGACTCCTTGAGAGTTCTCTGCTCTGCTCCAGAGGCGGGACCAGCAACCCCAGGTCTCAAGCCTTACCTTGCTTGCAGGGTTATAATCCTATACTTTGTAAGAACGCTGGCATTGCTTTTTCAAAAACTGAAAACCAATAACAGCTTCACAGAAGTCCAGCTGCATGCACGAGAAGGATGCTGTTTGCTGTCAGGAACTTCTTTGCTTCCAAAGCTTAATGTCCAGGAAGGAAAATGAGACACAGGGAAAACTGAGGGACGGTGAAGGCTGTGTGCGTAGCAATGGGACAGAACACACACTGCTTGCTCGGAGTGGAGGACAGAAGCCAGTGCTAAGAGCCTACGCCTGCTCACTGCCTCACGGATGCTGGTGGGGTTGCTCCATCTTCCCTCCCGTACTTCCAAAGCCTTCACTGGTCTAGTGCTGAGCAGCCCTGGAGGTGTGAAAACCTCAGTCTACAGTCTCCCGCTACCCACCGGCTCTGGGGGAGAGCCCCGCATGCGCACAGGGAGTCAGGGACCTCCTGGGACCTGAGCCAGCAAATCAGGTACTCCATTCCAACCGTCCAGGCAGGCTGCTTCCAAACCAGAAGACCTGCCCATTCCGCCTGGTGCCATCAGCAGCCGGAGTCACGCCGGCCCTCCGCAGTGCCCTGACTCCCTTAGCCTCCCCAGGGCCGCGCCCAGATGGAGCCAGGCCGCGCCTTCCCGCGCCCACACTGACCTCTGGCTCCCGTTGCGGATGAAGCCCGACGGGCACTCCTGCATGCACTCGCCGTCGTGGATGACGAAGCCCTCGGAGTCGCTGCTCTCGGCGTTGGGGATGTTGGCGCAGAAGTCGCGGTCCACGCAGCGCCAGCCCTCGAAGCGGTAGGTGTTGGGCGGGCAGCTGGGCACGCAGATGCCGGCGTAGTAGTAGTGGCGGCAGGCCACGCAGGCCGTGGCGTTGTCGGGCGCGCTGCAGCTGCCCAGGCACTCGGGGTGGCAGCACTCGTGGGTCTCCGTGCACGCCCGCTTCCCGCACGCGCTGGGGCACACTGTGGGGACAGGCAGGGCGTGAGACCGCTGGGCGCCGGGGCCCCCACCCGGCACCCCCCAGCCACCAGCCGCCGCGGGGCCGAAGCTTGAATCCCCAGTGTTACATGTTGAGAATTTCGCTGGGGCAGGGAGCAAGCACTCTGCATTTCGAGTCAGGTGAGCAGGGTTTAACATCCAGCCTCTCCTAGTTGACTCTGTTTGGTCTTGGAGGAGTGCTTAACGATCTCTGACCTTGATCCTCTCTTTTCTCACCTACAAAACGGGGTAGTAACCCCCATCTTGGAAGGTTACCTGTGGCATGGGTGAAACCCTGGAAGCACTATGTGGACCACAGTTTATTATTACTTTAGAAGGCTTATATGCACTACTCAATCTGCATTTTGCATGTGTTCCTTACTGAAATATCTTTTTAACTATTTCTGATATCTGTAAATATCTTTAAATAGTGTGCAGAAATGCTCACTTTTAAAATGATTAATGCTCATTTACTTTTAAAATGATTAAAACTACAATGTGCTAAAGATGATACTATTCAGTTGACAAATTAGCTTTAGAAAGTTTGTGTCTGCTTGTATCATACCAAAGGTCTCACCCCAGATAAACAATGATATTAACCTATTCATGTACCACATCCTAATATATCACAGAGAAGACCCCTGTCTCATGGTTTTTCTCACATGTAAGAGTGGATGGGTAGGCAGTGTCTCCAGCCCAAAGGACCATAAGATATCATTACAAACCATCTCCCGTGAGCCCGTCTATGTTAAAGACAAGTGAAAGGAATATCTAAAAAAGCCAGAGAGCCACAATTCTTGTCCCAAACAGATGAGCTGGCATTTATTTCTATAACAATGCCATAAGGATCACACTCTAGGGGCCTTAGAGCAGTGTGCCTTTCTAGCAAAGGTGCCTTACTAACTCTCCGTTAGCCTTATTTAGCAAATAAAGTATAAGTCAACAAAATAGGAAATCTGGTTTGTATTATCTGCTTCCTACTTTTTCCATGAGTTGGAAAACACAAAATTATTTAAATATGTAGATTATTGACTCTGACATGCATTATTTAGTGAAGATTCTATTATTGTTTTTCTTTGTAATAAAAAAGATGAAAAACTCAGAAATCAGATTAAAAACTACATTGAACACCTAGTCTGCCTGTCCACAATGGCACTTTATCAGTACTTCCAAGAACACTCCCCCACCAGATCATTTTCTGTGCATGTGCATGCACATACAAATGTAAACATCTATAAAAAAGGATCAAGTCATTCTGAAAGCACTTTCTGGCATAACATACTGTGAATTCGACAATAATTTAACAGCTGTATCGTATCCCTAGTATAATACATCATAAGTTGTAATCAGTTTCCTGCTATTAGACATTTCATTTATTCCCAACAATTTATTAGGACAATGAGCAGTCAATCTTCATGAAAATTCTTAATTATTTCAACAGAATCAATTTCCAGAGTAAGCCTTCCCGGGTTGAACTGTCCTCTGGGAAGTTGGTACCAATCTACACATCTGGTAGCTACATGCAGGAGTACCTATTTTATTGCCAAAAGGTGCATTTAAAAACAGCTGTCAGAACTTGGACATTCAAATGAATACTGTCACCTCGAAAGAAACAAATTCTCATGATACTGTCAGGCTTAAAAAAACTTTTTGCAGGTTTCTCCTCTGATCGTCATCTTTTGACTGAGACAAACAGGTGACCTTCCATTATTCATTCTTATCTATTTTGGTAATAGAACCTTGATTTTTAATTAGGTATTTTGCCACCTATCTAGCTATTACATCTCCCAGCCGCTCCTATAGCTAAAAGCAACCTAGGTTCTACCTAGTGAGTAAACTTTTAGTTTACTCGCTGCTGCTGCTGCTGCTAAGTTGCATCAGTCGTGTCCGACTCTGTGCGACCCCATAGACGACAGCCCACCAGGTTCCCACGTCCCTGGGATTCTCCAGGCAAGTATACTGGAGTGGGTCACCAGTTCCTACTCCAATGCATGAAAGTGAAGTCACTCAGTCATGTCCAGCTCCTAGCGACACCATGGACTGCAGCCTACCAGGCTCCTCCGTCCATGGGATGTTCCAGGCAAGAGTGCTGGAGTGGGCTGCCATTGCCTTCTCCGAGTTTACTCACTTGCTAGTAGCAAATGTTTGGGGTGGAACTTCCCAGAAAAGTGCTTCAAACAAAGGGGGTATGCCTATCATCCTTGCTGGCTAGGAAACAGGTATAATGCCTGAAGCTCAAGCAGCCGTACTAGGCCACAGTTCAGTTCAGTTCAGTTCAATCGTTCAGTTGTGTCCGACTCTTTGCGACCCCATGAATTGCAGCATGCCAGGCCTCCCTGTCCATCACAAACTCCCGGAGTTTACTCAAACTCATGCCCATTGAGTCGGTGATGCCATCCAGCCATCTCAACCTCTGTCGTCCCCTTCTCCTCCTGCCCCCAATCCCTCCCAGCATCAGGGTCTTTTCCAATGAGTCACAAGGTGACCCATTAAGAACAGTGCAGCAAGATCAAAGGAACTTGGTCCTTCATGACTGTGCAGCCAGTAGGCTGACCCTGGACTGCTTACCTCTAGATTTCTCTACATGAATAAGAAATAAACTTGTGTCTTGTTTAAGTGCCTGCTATTTGTTAGACGCAGCTGAACAAATCCCAACTGAGAAGTGCCTTTAGAGCCATGTATAAGCAAAGAAGAAGACTGTGACTGTTGGTTTATGTCATTGTTGTTTACTAGAATTGCCTCTCAATGATTTCTGGCTGTTTCCAAAAGCTAATCTACCCAATCAATTACAAGGAGTCACATCAAAAAAGCATGTTGTTGTAGGAGTTCCTAAAATGCTGTGTCTATGGAAGGCAGCATCTTGAAGCTGATACCACCAACTTGTGTCTGCAGTAAATGCACACATGCATGCCACACACTGGACTCTCAGATATCACACTTGATCTAGTAATCACAGATTAAATGACTATTTAAGTTCAAAATATCCATCACAGAGGTCACTTCAAGGCCCAAGATCTAAAGAAGGAATAACTCTGCAAATCCTAAGTTCAGGTTTTTAAACTAAAAACAAGGGAAAATAAGTCTACCTATCCTTCATCGAATCATCCACCTAGCAACTATTTATTGAGTGTGTGTTGTAGCTGTGTGCCAGACCCTGTTCTTAAGGGGTGGATAATATACCAGGTAAGCACAGGAGTCAAGTGGTGGTACATAGCCTGCCCTGGGCATCTGGGTGCCCAGGAAGGCTTCACAAAGGTTTGAGGCTGGAAATGAAAGCTAAAAACTGAGGAGAAATAAGGATGACACAGATGAAATCATGTGTAAAAGCAATTGAGTTGCTGCGATGAGAGAAGTGGGTGCTCGTGAAGATGGCAGGGATCCAGTAACAGGTGATGCTGGGAGAGAGGAGGAGAGCAGCTCAGAGAGGCCTCAGAAGCCTGTCCAAGGCATTTTGGCTCAGTGGCGGACAGTGGGCATCACTGAAGGTTTCGGGCAGGAGAACACGATGGTCTGATTTTCATGGTAGAAAGAGGTCATCCGGCAGCAGCACAGAGGGTATGATGACCAGAGGGGGCTATGCTAGAAGAAGCGGGATCAAGCCAGAGAAGAAATGTTCTACCGTCCCTACAGAGTTCACATAATACAACAGATCTGTGAGGTTCACAGAGTTAAAAATGAAACTAACTGTGGAAACCGTGCTCATTTGTCATAGCACAGACCTGCCCTGTTGAGCATACATTCCCCGTTCAGAGCGCGGAAGGCCCCAGGGCTGCTCACTGGCCATCAGCCACCACCAGGCTTGTGTTTGCAGGAACGAACAATGGCTAAGAATATTATGCTCCTCATCAGAGACTAACTAGGAATAATATCTACTTGTAAAACCCTTTTTTCCTTGCTTACAATTTAAATAAAATGTTACATTATCAATAAAATGATGAGTAGCAGACATCAATATCAAATAGGTATTAATGTAGTGCTAAAGACTAAAAGCATTTGAAAGCATATAAAAATGCCCTGTGTACGCTTAGACTCAAACACAAATGTTGGGCATTTCCAGTACGAGAAAGAGAAAGAAAACCTGACCAAGCATCTGTGGATAATGTTTTGCACTGTGCTCCCTATTCCACTGGAAATGGCATCTCTGGGCAGTGGTCCACTGCAGCACACGCCCCTTCCAGGGGTGCACTGCATAGAATTGCACCGTTAGTCAATTCCTGCCACAGCAGCACACAGGCTAGGGAGGTAGCATTTTGCTTCAGTAATGGGAGCTGCCTCAGAAGGAATTTCGGTAAAAGCTTAAATTAGGGAAAATCCTGTTCCTAGACAGGACAGTTCCTCTTAAAGGGATCACAAATCACGACCACAGATCTTTCACTTTACATGACACCACTGTGCACAAACACATATCAAATACTTTGGGGGAATAAAAACAGGGTATGATGTGGGGGGGGGGGGGAACCATTTGCTGGAGGATAAACTCAGGGGTGGAAGCCAGAGTTCCCCTGGCTGCAGCACGATCCATGAGGGCTCTGGGAGGCAGGCAGGAGAGCCCGAGGAAGTTCAGGATTAGACAGTCCTGGAGCCAGCCCCAGAAGCCCGCTGTAAATTTTGCCTCATCTCAATGTATATAAATATTATTAGTGTTCAGGACTATTAAGGGATTTCTTGAAAAGCCCCGGGCAGTGTGTCTAGCCAGCAGACGGATGGCTGCTCCACACGAGTGCCAAAACTTAAAATTTAGTACAGTTACCAAATTTCCAATCACAGAGCTATGGGAGAAAGGAAGGAACGTCTTCCTTGGCTTCCATGAATAAGGGGCACACCTAGCATGATGAAAGGCATTTCTGCTTCTAAGAATAAAAGGGAAATGGAAGGTGCTATAAACTAATAAATACACGGAGGGGAAAGCAAATTGATTTTGCCCATGAGATCTTTCCAGTCATTGGAATTTTTACAATGACCAACAATAAAAACAAAGGCCTATGTAAACTGTTGAGAAAGCTAACAACAGGTCCCACATCTGCACTGAAAGGATTCATTCTGGGACACAATCCCATAGAAATGAGGCACTGCGTTTAAAAGCTCATTTTCTTCATTTTGGGGGACAGGGAAAAAGTCACATACATCAACCTTTACCTTTAACTCTCTCCTTCCCTCCCTGGAGTCCTTGTATTTATTAAATTCTTTCTAGGGATTTTAAAAACGTTTCTTTCTTTTCTTACCAATAAGCTCTTTAACAATCTTTACTTCAGAGAAACCATTTTTAAAAACATGTTTTGGAAGAGAAGATGGAGAACTCAACCTCTTCACACAAGAAAAAAACAGGAAAGGGACCACTTAGTCACACGAGTTTAAAAAACACAAACATTTTACCCCAAATAATTTCAAAAGGACAGAACCAGTTCATGGATGCCGAAATAAGGTCAAGTTTCTGTATCAAAATCCAGACTGGTGTAGGGTTCTCTTAGGTATTTCTGGGTACCCAAAGGGACATACCAGTTCCACATAAAAAGAGGGTGCCTTTCCTAAGAGACAGGCATCACTCTGCACTAAGATGAATGGCTGCAACTCCAGGAAAGCACACTGCAACTCCCCAAGTATATCCCGGAGACATGTGGTCCAGAGAGAGTTTATGGTTTTCCTGCCTGGCCAGGAGAGGAGCTGATTCCATTAGACACCACGGGGAGGGGAGCCCCGGTGGGGTCCGCTGAACTCACAGCAGTGCCCTCATGCAGCACGGCCAGAAGCCCAGCCAAGGCCTCTCCTCCAGAGACCTCTGAGCCAGCTCACTGGGAGGATGGGCAAGCCTCCTCTGACCGTTAGAGACATCAGCCAGGCCCGGTCCTGCAGGTTCCGCAGGTAAGACCGCCCAGCTCCTGAGGGCAGCAGTGGGAACACGAGGGCAAGCAAAGGGCCGGTGAGGAGGGCTTCCAGGGGAAGGGACGCCAGGACCCCCAGCCTGAAAGGCCAGTGGGAGTCGGGTGCATGGGGGTGACGGGAGGGCTGGAGGGGGTGCAGGGGCCAGAGAGTCAGACTCACACGACTGCAGGAAACGGGCTTTGGAACCTGGGGGGGGGGGGGGGGGCGGAGGAGGCGAGAGGCAGCAGAGAGCCACCAGAAAGGCCTTTTAACTCTCGAGTAGGAGTCTGGAACATTCTTAAGAGAAAAGAGGATTTTAAAGAGGGAGTCGCACGAGCAGGTCCGCCGTTTGCAAGGATTACTCTGGCTGCTGAGCGGAAAAGAGAAATGCCGGGCGACCCGCGGGCCCCACGACGGTGAGCCGTGGCGGTGGCCGAGACGAAGCCGCACAGATGGGAAAGCGGGCAGGTTCGCGGGGTGAAACTGTTCCCCAGCGGGGGCACAGAGAGACGGCTTCAGTTCAGAACGTGCTGCTTCCTGCGCACATGTGAACCGGTACGCCGTCTGCTTGGATGCCGCGCCCTGGGGTGTGGTCAGCGGGTGGACTCAGAGACCAGCGCGGAGGAGCGGGATGCGGGGACCTCAACCGCCCACCGGGCCCAGCGGGCCCGCCAGAATCCCTTTCCGATACCTACATTCTTTTAAAAGAACCCACCCAAGTGGATTTCCGTATACTCAGCTGTGAATTCTGGGCCCCACGTTTCTATTCTTCCCTGCTCCACTCCTTGACAGACCTAACACAACGCTCAGGCTTAAGTAAGGATAATAATGTATTTATGGAATTCCTCTTCTAAGCCTCACAAACGTGATCCAGAGGACCTACAGGTGAGATGGGGCCTCACTACGTCCTCTTTGCTCACCAACTCGAGCCGCAGGAGGGCAGAAAGAGAGGCTCACCCGCGCGGCTGCTTCTGAGGCCCATAGGCCCTGCCGCTTGGGGAGCTCCATGCTGGTCCTTTCAGCCAAGAAGGTGGGTGAGCCACCTTGACGAGATGTCCCAGCTGGACGGATGGATGTCCCATCTCCAGGAGCCATGATGAACCCTCTCTGCAAGAGGGTCAGGGAGAGCCCACCTTGGGCCGGGGGTGCACGGCCTTTCATCCTGCCAAGTACTCTTCCATCTCTCCTGCCTTTTGACCTCAGGCACATACTCCCCCCCACCCACCATTCCAAGAAGAGAAACTACCAAAGGGGTAGAGAGGAGAGGAGCCGCCAGGCTTCTGGGGCTCAAGGTGAAGCTATCTCACCCCAGTGATTAAGTCCGGAGTTCTCTAAATACGTCAGCTAGTGTGGAAAAGTAGGCTTACACGAAAATGCTAAGACTCGTGAAATAAAATGAAAATAAACCTGGCACAACAGTGTGTGAGCTCCACTCACACACATATGTATGCATGTGTATATATATTTATAAATCATGCATACCTATAATAAGTAAAGCACAGTTTTCTCAAAAGAAAGATAAGAAGACTCTGTCTTGACCATCTTGAGAAACTGCTACTGGAAAACTCCAGAGAACCACTGCCTAGAAATCCTAGGCTGAGTTCATTTCAGCCGGCTTCTCTGCCTGGAAAACTGTAGCCATTAAAAGGAATCAGGTGGTAACCCTGGTGTCTGAAACATTCAGAAAGAAGAGCTGCATCCTCTCTAACCTTTCTCTTCTCAAAGCCAAAAGAAACCACCTCCTGTGCAGGAGAAAACATTCTATCATCATAGTGGCCAGACTAAGAGACAATGTCATGGTTAGAAGCTGAAGATAACTTCAGTTTCTCTGTTGGAAGCAGCAAGGTTAGCATGAGCACTGGAGCATGGGGAAGGCACCCAGGGGCATGCAGGAAGATCCCAGAACAGAGCTCTCGGGAGCCTGCAGAGGCTGATTAATAAAGGGAGACCACGGCTCCTGAACCCATTAACGCAGTGAGCCTGAAAGCGCTCATTTTCTCCCGAGTCCAGAGTGCACAGAGGAGTTCCTCCTCGCGGTCTTTGAAGGGGTTTTCAAGACTCAGTTTTGAGTCCTCTTCCTTCCTGAGAGCAACGGCCCTGGACAGAGCATCTTTGGGTCGGCAGATGGATGTTCTGCAGCACCAGGGCATGTAGAGGGGGCAGGAAGTGATACACCTCCCTCCTCAACCCTGCCTGCCCATCTCCTGTCTTCTCCAGCCTTCACTCCTTCCCAGGGGGCAGGAGGTGGCTTCAGAACATGCAGGAGCAGAGACCCTCATGCGGGAAGCTCCCGGAGCCCTTAGGTCTGCCCCAGCTCAAACACACCAGGGCTTCTGCAGCCACGTTCTGCTTTTCATCAAGCCCCGATCCTCAGAGATGAAACAAAGTTAGGAGGTCATCATCCCATGCGTGTCTGAGGCACTGCTCTTCAGAAACCGAGGCGAGCCTCACAGCAGAGCTGCAGGGAGCTCCTTCCCTTAGAGAAAGTGCTACTGCCCGACTGCACCCCGCTTGACCAAGTTCCTCCTCACCCCCGCCCAGGATGCGTTTTCCTACAGGGCACTCTCCCCAGGCCTCATTCAGGTCTGAAACTCGGGGAGGTGGCTGGTGTCTTGCACACCTTTGCCACTGGGCAGCAGAGCCTTGGCGAGGACTCTGCCAGCATGGAGCAGACCAGGGGAAGCGCCTGTGACCCAGTCAGATAGATCTGGGTTCCAAGCCCAGGTTAACAGCTTAATAATCATTAATCATTAATGATTACTAATCATTACTAATCATTCACGTAACCCTGGACAGTTGCTCAGTCTCAAAATTCCAAGGCTGTGATCCTGGCCTCCTCCTGAAGGCCATACTCAAGCCACAGTTCATTCAACATACACGAACATCACTGCTCCTTAACACCTGTCCACAACCTACCTAAGGCTGCAGAAGCCGTCTGCACGGTTGGAGCAGGAGGGCACGGAGCCCAGCAGTGGTCTTCCATGACCGAGGCGGCACACTCGGGGGCTTTCTGTATGCCCTTCAAGGTAACTCCCATTGTCACACCCAGCTAGCTCATCTGACCTTCTAATCACTTAACGTTCCTGTCCTCCTTTCACAATAGCTGCTGGAGTCTCTCCTACATGAATGTGTTCTGAGTCTAAACACAGGACTCAATCGCATATATATTATGTAACTTAATGTTAACGATGACATGGGGCAATGGCATTATGCTCACTGGTAGATGCCCACATGGAAGCACAGAGATTTTATAACTGTCCAGCTCTATTAATCATCCACGTGAATAACTATCAAGCTGGACACCTGGGCTTGGAACCCAGATCTATCTGACTGGGTCACAGGCTCTTCCCTGCTCTGCTCCATGCTGGCACGAAGTTCTCGCCAGGCTCTGCTGCCCAAGAGCAAAGGCTAGGGGACTCTTCTCGTGCCACTTTTCTCTATAAGTTGGCATCCACCAGGAAGAAATGAATCACCAGTTTCAACATCCTCTTCTTCCCCCTAAGGTGAACCACTTAGTCTGGAGGAAGGACAAAACACAAAACATCATGCTCTGGAGAAGGGTCAAGCGTGCAGGTGATATTAAGGATGATGTGCCCACTAAGCGTTCATTATTTATTTGGTGTGTGTGTTAAGTCGCTTCAGTCATGTCTGATTCTTTGTGACCCCATGGACTGCAGCCTGCCAGGCTCCTCTGTCCATGGGATTCTCCAGATAAGAATACTGGAGTGAGTTACCATGCCCGCCTCCAGGGGATCCTCCTGACCCAGGGGTCGAACCCACGTCTCCTAAGTTGCCTGCACCAGCAGGCAGGTTCTTTACCAACAGCGCCACCTGGGAAGCCCTCTGTTTATTCAGTTCAGTTCAGTCGCTCAGTCGTGTCTGACTCTTTGAGACCCCGTGACACTGCAGCACACCAGGCTTCCCTGTCCATCACCAACTCCCGGAGTTTACTCAAACTCATGTCCATCGAGTCGGTGATGCCATCCAATCATCTCATCCTCTGTCCTCCCCTTCTCCTCCTGCCCCCAATCCCTCCCGGCATCAGGGTCTTTTCCAATGAGTCAGTTCTTCCCATCAGGTGGCCAAAGTATTAGAGTTTCAGTTTTAGCATCAGTCCTTCCAATGAATATTCAGGACTGATTTCCTTTAGGATGGACTGGTTGGATCTCCTTGCAGTCCAAGGGTCTCTCAAGAGTCTTCTCCAACACCACAGTTCAGAAGCATCAGTTCTTCGGCGCTCAGCTTTCTTTATAGCCCAACTCTCACATCCATGTATGACTACTGGCAAAACCATAGCTTTGACTAGACAGACCTTCGTTGGCAAAGTAATGTCTCTGCTTTTTAATATGCTGTCTAGGTTGGTCATAGCTTTTCTTCCAAGGAGCAAACGTCTTTTAATTTCATGGCTGCAGTCACCATCTGCAGTGATTCTCCGTTTATTGGGTTACAGCAGATAGAACTCTCAGAGGCTGAGCCCTGACAAGTCTATCCATGGCCCTCAGTGCTTGCTTGCGGTGGTGAAGCAGCAGCTCCTGTCGTGGAAGGCAGTGAGGGCGTGTTCTGTGGGGCAGAGGCAACCACACATATAAGTCACTGTGCTGTCAGGAGCCAGGACAGCCAGACCCGGGGAGACTCAACGACCCACAGAGCCCTTTCCACCCAAACAAGTCTTACTCATGAGATTAGATAACCAGAGTTCACTCTCTTCACCAATGCCTGTGTCTCAGCAAGGCTCCAACCTCGGTCAGGAAAAAAGAAAAAACAGGTCTGTGCCTTCCCCTTGGTTGAGCACATAAACATATATAATCTAAGTTCACAGAAACAGCCAAGTTCCAAGTAGATCCCTACTGACTAGTACACAAGGTACACAGGTAAGCTATGATGTTTGACGATATGTTTCATACTAGCTACTAAAGGCATCTATGAGGATTTCATTAATGAGCAAAAGAAATGATCATCCACAGAAATTACTACTGGATCCCTGAAGTCTCCAGGATCTAATATGCAGTGCTGGGTGGACCACTGAGAAAACAGAAGAAAAAGGAAAAAGGCAACCAAGAAACCAGGAGGGAGGTTATTCAGGGCACCATTATTAAATAAAAATGTCAAGAGCTAATTAGGAAGAGTAAAGAAAGAACAGCCATCAATGCAGACACAGTACAGGACTGCAGTTCACACCAAAAGCTAAGTGAGGAGCAGAAGGCAGGCCAGGCATCTCCTTTGGCTAAACTTCTGATTTTGGTTACTGTGGGTGCTGTGATTTTTTTTTTTCCCTTCCCTCACAATTTTCATAACAGCTTGACTGAAATAGAACTCATACACAATTTCACCCATTTAAAGTGTACAAACTGATGGTTTTTACCATATTCACAGAGTTGTACAAACATCACCCCAAAGAGGAAGCTGTCTACCCCTCCCCTGCCCCCCTGCACGTCTCAGCCCCAGGCGATCACTGATCAACTTTCTGTCTCTACAGAGCTGCCTCTTCTGGGATCTAATGCCTGGTGAGCTGAGGTGGAGCTGATGTAACAATAGCAGAAATAAAGGTCACAATAAATGTAATGTGCTTGAATCATCCTGAAACCCACCCCGCTGCCCCCAGCCCAACACCCATGGGAAAAGTGTCTTCCCCGAAACCGGTGCCCGGGGCCCATGTGGCTGGGGCCGGTCCCCACGTGATCCTCTGGGGCTGGATCTCCCACGTGGGACGACACAGCCAAGGTCCGTCTGCGCTGTGGCGCGTCAGTCCCTCACCCCTGCGTTTCCGTTCGTAAGCTCTGCCTCTGGTGACCCGCAGGCAGCAACGCTGGCCCCGCAAGCCCTTCTGTTCCTGTGAGTGACAGAAACACAGGCATGCCGGTCAGAAGCTGATGCTTCCATCAACTATTTGGACTCCAGGATCTATTCACGGTCTGGATCTATCCCAAAGGGAGAAAGACTTGAACCTGTCACACTGACTAAACTCTGCTGTTCTGATAGTAGGAAATGAGAGGAAAAGCCACGCAATCTGTGGAG